TTTTATTTTGATTATTTTTTTATTATTTTTTTTTTTTTAAAATTAAAAACAAAAATTTTATTTAAAAAACTTTTCCCGCCCCCCCCCCCCCCCCCCCCCCCCCCCCCCATTTTTTATATTTATTCCTCAATTATTCCTAAATCATTGTTGTCCCCTGATTCCAAGGTTGGCGACGTCTTGTGCTGTAATTTATCCACTTGACTTTGATAATTCTTGTCTCTTGGTTGCTCTTTACCTTTCGTCGACTCTGCGGCCATGAGCATCCGTATTATTTCACGTCCGCGTTCTCGGTCTGCGTCGCGGGTAGCATGTAGACCCCATGCCTTCAAGAATGTGGCTTCGCCCCGGTAGTTTCGATGTAGCCATAATATCTGTTCGTTCATAAGCCTTCCTCTACTCCCCTTGTCCTCCGTCTCTGCGCTCGCCGAGTTTGTAGAGCTTTTTGGATTCTTGTCCTGATTCATAGTTGGTTGTGACTTCACACTGGGCCGCTCTTTTCCTTCTGGATTTTCTTCAGTTAGCACTCGATTTATAAGTGTCGAAACTGAAAAGGAATAATTAGAGCTTTTGATTACCTTTTGCGCTCACCCGAACGTCGTCTGTTGGCGGCCGCGTTGGTCGAGAGCTGTTTTGTTTTCCCTTGCACTCTAATGGCCTAGCCGGTAGCGGTTTCCATTGGCCAGGGCCCCGAACGTCAGCTGTAGATTGGGTACGGCGGATGGCATTAATTGGTCTTCCCATACATTCGCTATTGGTGTTCTTCCGAAAGTCCTCAGCGGACGAGGACGTGGATGGGGCAACTGAAGAATAAGGCGGTGGAACAGAAGAATGGGGAGTATCGGCTGATTTCGATGGTGGTAGAGGGAACAAAAACTGAGGAGAGCTCGAGGGTAAGTTTTTCTTCGTAGTCCCCATTGGACTAGACTGTCTCTCGGGTGGAAGCTTCAATGGCAATGGGTTTAGTTGCAACCCTTCTACCCGTTTGTTGTAAGTCAGTATGTGTACCGCTCTCCACGGAATATTGATTCGAAAGTACTAACCGATGCTATTCGTAGACAGTGGCATGAGAGGGGTAGATTTTTCAAGTGGCTGCTCAACCGATGTATATATCCTCTCATCTGAGGTTGCGAGGTTTTGTAAATGAGACTTGGATGAACGTATAGTTGGCATTTGGTAGTCAACAGAACAAAACCACGAATGATAATAAACCCTATCTAAGATTATAGATCGGCATACTTATTAACATTAGGTATTTTTTTAGAAAAAAAAAGGAAAAAAAGGAGCAGAAGAGTAATTGAAAGAGCTTCTTTTACTTGTCATCAAGACAATGTGGAGAAGGTTTCGAGATAGGCACTCGATATTTCAGTTGCCTATCTCTTATAATACCTCCCTCCCACCTTAGGAGGTGCCTAGGTTATATTATGTGATACTTGGCAGTTATCTAGCCCATACATGGGGGAGTATATCTTTTTCGATAATTAAGGGTAGTTTAATAAGTGTCAAACTGCGCCATCGGTCCAAACACGTTACACATAAAGCGTATTCAATAATTCCACAGGTATGCAATCAATGTGGGATACTATGCCCATTAAAGTTCAGATCATTATATGTTTGTCAGACTTTTAGGAGAACGACGCGCTTAGGTGTTTACAAAAGATTTGGGCGTTACCGGCTAGGTGGAAAGGCAAGGTGCACCCTGTTTCCTTCAAGCCCCTTTTATTTTACAAGATGTGATCTGAGGGAAAAAAGCAACAACTTTACGCTCAGACCCTTACTATATTCCCTAAGTGTATTGTTGGCATATACCTAGCTTCTCTTGCAGACTTTGAGATGCTGCTAGAATTCTGTAAGATGTGTTTTTAGAAACGAAGAAAAGCGGGATCAAAGCAAGTATCGTTTGTCTGTAGTATACGTAGGTACATAGATAAACATATTCGCACTGGATATGGGGACGGAGGATTGGGAAACGAATGAAATATCCATCACTGCATGGATGTAAACGCCTTTCGCACTCAAGGGAGTCGGAAAAGGGGCGGCGAAACGGGTACCCCCGATTCTCGAGCTCTTCCTCTGGCTGCTGTGATTCACAACGCCATGTGTCTTATGTATTATGGGCTATTCGAATGTCTTATTCCGCCTAAATGATTGGATATCTTGAGCTAGGTTCAATTAGTTCCAGTCAATCCTATCAAGCAATGAGTTTATACTTGCCTAGGTAGGTATCGTCGTGTGATATCAGTTAAGCATAACTGCGACATTAAATCAACCACCTCAACTCAATCGAGCACAATACCTTCCACTTAAAGTAGCACTGCTATATTCCATAACAAACTCTCGGGTCCGAAGTTAACAATTAGGCCCGTGACCCACTCGGAGCTTGAATTAAATAACTGCCAATCGGACGCCGCCATTACCACCGTAATTTTCCAAAATAGGTAAAAGCCGGATGTAGCTTCAGACGGTACGACATACTATGTATGCTCCAAACTACCTAATAAGGGCGAAGGATTGTATTGACCCTACCAGTACTGTGCCCCTGTATCCAGTCGAGTTAGCTTATGCTCGATTTATCTGCATGCCGGGTCTGCTGGGGCCGAATGATCAATAACCCTGAAATTCGCAGCTTTTCCTAGCCGAATTCCATTGCTGCCACAAGCCGAACTGCCTCCCCAAACTAGGATCGACTTGCCTGGGTTTAAAGTAGGGAAAGGTAAATCGAGGTAGGATTTGCTGAAGAGCATCAGGGGATGATAGATATTCGATACAATATGCAAGAGATGAGAGCTTCGGTGGCTTTCGGGGATTCTAGGTTGATTTCGGTAGATTTTAGATACCGCCTATATATTAAGTAGAACTTTATACTAAGATGAGGAGCAGAAAAAAAGGGATACAGGTTGTGGGTGAACTTTAGTACGTAATTACGCCATGTTCCTGTAAGTTACATAGATGATTTGGGTAAACTACAACAGTCATTATCACATCTATACTAGGTTAGCTTCTGAGTATGATGAAGGCGAGCCAGAAGCATGGAACAAACCTAGGTGCTCTTAACTCTCCCACGTATGCAAAAGAACATTAGGTAGGCAGTAGGAAAGTCTACGGTGAGGATGCTAAGTTGCCTAGAGCTAGTTTTACTTAAGACAGCTCTAGAAACTAGCATTTTCGGACAAGATCTGAACATATGTATATTAAATTACCTAGGCACTCAAAGCATTAGGTAGTTATTGAGCATTACTTAATATAAGTACTTGTGGTAGTAACTTTCTGGTAGTTATTTAGAGTCTGTTCAACCATTCCTTGTTTCTATGCTCCATTAGACAGGATTCTATGGTGGCATGCTTCTGAAGCTTAGGCAGATAGTTCTCTTCGCTATTTCGTGTTAAAATGTACCTAGTCAATAAGCGAAACAAAACCCATTAGGTAACAAGGTATTAACAAGCTTCCAGACCCCTAAAGCCCGTAATTCTTTTTTATATAGGCGTACGTGATATTCTAGCAGGATTACACTTATAAGCATTAGATTGCTACCACCAATAAATATTTACCTTAGGTACGGATAATAGGTGGGGGCGGGGAAGCCCAATGTACCCTACCAACCTAGGTTAGGTACCTGTTATTCGAACTTAACTCTAAGCTCCTCCCCTGGACTTCGTATTGAAAAGTCCCGTATTCGTTTTATCTACAAATGTCATAAATAGGAGAATAATCCGTTGCTGTTACCTACCAAGTAAACTTCGGGTAGTTTTATAACTATAGTGTATTTTGTATAGAGGTAGGTAGCGGCAATATCTTACTCCCCGCTTCCAAAGTTATAGTCTGTGCTTAACGGTTTACATATTTTTAAACTTTGGGGTATCACGAAGTGATATTCTTAGCTATCTCTAATCTTGATTCCATCCTGAAGGGCTGATCGAGGTTGACGACTTGTTCAGTGAGATCTTGGGTGGGATTTTATCCTAACTAGTCTAGATAGTGCGGAATGCAACCCTTACTCTCAGCCAGCCCCCATCCAAGCTCAGCACTACCTACCCCTTAAGGTACCATATGCCTTTTGAGATGGCTTAGTCCAACCCCGCAATATAAACGATTTACCTCCTTTGCATCAGGAGATATGATAGCTCATTAATAAGTAACCATCAAACGGGAGACTCCTTCTCGGATGTCAGCTTAGGGGTTGAGGTCATAGAAGGTCATAGTTTAACCTCAAGAGGGTTATCAAGCTTCGCGTCGCGACTTGAAACCATATATTGACACGGGATTGGACTATACTTGGAATTAAAGTAGTAGCAGCGTATTCCTTTCTGTCTGCAAGGATATAATCCACAGTGTGAAGGCTCCAAGTGGAGTGGGATAGAAGTAATATGATACAGTGCTTTCGCATAAATACCCAAGCATAACCTCTAATATTCCAGACTCCAGACCATTGTCAATACAACAATAAACTTACATCGATACAACGAAGATCGCAGCAGAGTCGACAAAAATGAAGGCATCACTTCTCCTTAGCCTAGGAGCCTTAGCGCTTCCAGGAGTCTTTGCAACGCCTGTGAACGAGATCGAAACTAGAAAGAGCTCCCACTCATTTATGGGCTCTAATCTATGTAAGCAATATCGATGGGCTCCTTTCTTTAGATAAGGTACGTTCAGATATAATATTGAATACTAACACCTATAATTCAGACTTCCTTCCTGGACTATCCGACCAGGACCAAGACAATTACATCAACGATCTCTCCAACTACGGCGTCAAGGTCGTCCGCGTGTGGGTGAACCGACAAGATTCCGGGCATTGCGAGAAGGGAAGTAAACTCGCAGTAAGCGTAGGCCCGTTGGAGTCCGAGTTGGGTAAATTCGACGACAGGACGCTGGACGCCGTCGATAAAGTTGTCAACAAGCTCGCTAAGAAGGGCATTAAATCTATTATTTCGCCCCACGACGCGAACTCCCTTCTTGACGACTATCGAAGGTAAGTATCGAATATGTCTGATACCATACATAAGGTAGCTTAGATGTTTGGACTGACGGTAGACACTTGGAAATCTGCAGAGATGTATACACCAAGTTTGGCAAGTCTGGGTTTTACTCCTCAGACGAAGCTATTAAAGCCTACGACAAGCGAATTGACCATATTCTTAACTACAAGGGAGCCCACTCCGGCAAGGTATGGAAGAATTGGAGCGACGCAATCATGGCATTCGACCTGCAAGTAAGTCTCGCCTCCGAATACTCCGGATCTGGCATGTCTTTGCCGTTCGCTCCTAGTACTTACAACCATCGGAATTTCTAGAACGAGCCCATGTCTCCGGACCTTTCAGTCTGTCAGAACAACGATCAGAAGAACTGGCTCTGCGGGCGCGCCAAGAAGTTCCGCAGTGTTCTAGGCTCCAATAATAAGATACAAATTGCAACTGGAGGTGTCGGCGGTGACTTTTCGCATGGATGCACCTTTATAAAAGCTGCTACGCAGTGCCCTGAGGTCGATCTAATCGCCATTCATCGCTACGCGGGCAGTCAGTCTAACAACCCTGGTAAGTGTACCTATGTATTTTCTGAGTTGCGTTTATGTTTAGAGATTACGTCCGAGTCCAATATGAATACTCGATATTAACTAATCATACTACCTGTTAGGTCAATGGTCCGGAAGTGCGAAAAACTGGGTCCAGCAGGCCGGCGGCAAGCTCATCTTCGTTGAAGAATGGGGGGTTAACACTGCTGCGAACGACGCCAAAAGCGAGCTGCCCGCCCAAGCTAACGATATCAATAAAGTTGGCCTGCCAAACTTGTATTGGCAGTTTCTACCTAAGGAGACTTGTTCTTACGACCCTAGCCAGGATTCCGGCGATTGCTTTGGCATCTTCGTTGAGGGAGATGTCGATATTGCATCGGTCGTGAAGGGTGCTTCGAACGCTGGTGCTTTACAGGACTGGTCGAAGGTAATTGGATAAACGAGAACAATTAGATCTCGTGTCAACACTATTTAGAGTCTCCGTGAAGCACTGGGAAATACTTTGACGATGGGCAGCCTTACTTGGACCATGTGGATGTACATACATTAAAGGCATTTTGCAGCTTTCTTTTTTAGTCTCTCGTTAAACATTATCATATACCTTACCTCAGTTGAACTCCCAACAATGAGATCCCCTTATTGATAAATAATTCTAGATGCAGTACACCGAAAAGAAGGGATTTGGTAGAGTACCGGATATAAATAGAAGGTACGGATCCGATATCGAACCCCTATTATGGGCGACTATGTAAGGGACTAATACGATACTATATGGCTTAAAAAATCGCAGATGAGTTTAGATATCAGGTACCTAAGTAGGAGGTAATGGTTCGAATGCACTGGTGATCTATTTAATATCTACACTCTCATTTGTACACAACTCGGCCAGATCCTGAGGGGTTTTAGACACCGCAAGCCAAGAATGTACATTTCATTCCTCATTCCCCTAACCCTTTCGTAATGATAGCTCTCTCCTTAATGCGAGGTGTTTGCCTCAATATTCATTATCACCAAGTCGTAAACCTCGGTAATATGTCATGCCGCTGCTCTCAAAACAATCGTTCGTCATACATCATCGCCAGCCACGCTTTCGTATCCGTCTCTCCTCCGCCCAGTCGAGCCTGCGCCGCCGAGCCCAAGGTTCATTGCAGCTGGACTTTCGTAAATATCCGTATAGTTGATTTTTTCGCCGCCTAACATCGCATCACCGGTCTCTCTGCGTCCGAATATAGGTGCTGGATCGCACCAGAAATCGCGGCAGTTTTGCACCAAGCCCTTGTTGTAAGGATTACGCTTCTTCCGCAATTTCTTAGCAGTAGCAGCGCCTCGACCTGTTGCTGTCTCGATAAACGTGTCGACGCCGAGAAGCCTGCCCCACTGCTTCAAGAAACTCTGGTGCTTATGCGCGTGCGCGCCTCTGCCCGTCCCTAGCGGGTCTGCAGCTGCTGATGGAGGAGCTGCAATGTCGGGATGGTTCGGGTCAAGAGGCGCTCCGGTGCTCGTGAAGGCTGAGCCAAGCGACGACGCCGAGCCGTCTTGAATACCGTACATATTTTCATATGTGGTCATAGCACGACCGACCTGAATGAACTGAACGAAAATAAGCATTCCCACCCACGTAAGCTGTAGCGTTGTCCATATCCCAAGAAGTACCGTGTATGGGTCGGTATTGACCACGGCACAGATAGGATCCGCCAAAATCAAGCATTCTCCTTTGGAAGCTGATTGAGGTAGCTCAGAAAAGTAGTAATATAGCAACCAGTCAATAAAGACGATACCGAAGACGAGGTTGACCAGGTAGAGGAAGAAATGCCGGTGATTATTAACGCCGACGCAGTTATTTACCCAGGGGCAGTGACTATATGTATGAGTCAATACTGAGCATATTGCATGGAATTTATGATATGACACTTACTGGTCATGCTTCGCAACACATCGTTGACACCGTCGACAGTGTTTACTCCTGAGAGGAGTTCGGATCATGCAAGTGACGCAAAAGTTAGACTCGTCGAATTTCCAGAGACTTAACAACTCGTCGATCACGGCTTTTTGTTCGGCGATCCCGTTGAGTTTAGGCACATATCCAGGGTCAAAGACCATGCACGCCGTATAAAAGTAAGCTATCAAACTGTAGAAGAATAGAAAGGTGAAGTTGAGAAGTGGATGTTGCGAAAACGTCGCTAAAAACAGTTAGCTCACTGGCCTTGAATATCTAGTCGCCAAGAACGCGAGACAAAACTCACCAGGGAATATCGTCAAAATCCACCTTAGGCCCACCAAAAACAAGGACGCTGCAAAGACACCGGCTAGCCAAGGCTGCGGGTTGTTAGTGACATATCATGTTCTCTAGGCCGAAGATACGTACTGTCTTATGCAAATGCCTCATATCAGGAGGGGCGTACTCGAGAATCTGATTTGTGATCCACTGAAAGCCGAATCCTATCAGGAGCGCAGTCGGTATGGAAAAGTATATAGGTAAGTGAGCCATTACCATCAGCTCGGTGAATAGTAGCGGGACGGGTAAGAGAAATAAGGATTTGTTCATAAAGCCGCGCTTATCCTTGAGAAAGAAAGACGACCCAGGCCACCAGGGGGTCACAACGTGCCCGTCCTCGTCGTAACCGCATTCTTTCAAGGCTCTATGCCAGGCGTTGACGGTGTTGAGGTCCTTGGCTGTTATAGCGGGAGTCTTACCCGTACCCGTCTTCGCGAAGCGATCCGAGCCGTATTCTAGAAGCTTAAGTATGCACAGCGGTGAACCTTTGACCAAGCCCCAATGCAAGGCCGTAAAGCCTTGTTCGTCCGTCGCATGTACGCTCGCACCCCACCGCAAGAAGAGGTCTACACATTGCGGGAAGCCTTTATACGCCGCCCACATGAGGCTGGTATGACCATAAGAATCGGCTACGTCGACGGGGATGCCCTGGTGTAGTAACAATACTACTAATAAGACGTTTCCGCTAAAGGTCGAGATGTGTAGAGTATTGTAACCTTGGGCATCGGTAATGAGAGGATCGGCGCCATGTTGAAGGAGAAGATTGACAGTATAGTAGTTCGATCGCTGAGCAGCCCACTGCAACGGCGTCGCGATGCTCTCTCCACCCTTCTTATTTATGTCGGCGCCTTTCTCGATAAGGAACTTGCACATCGCATATTGGTTGTTAATGGCCGCCCACTACGAGTACTGTTAGTAAAGTAGCATAAGGAAAAAGGCTGGAAGAAAAAAGGAAGAGGAATGTATGGAATTTCGCATACGTGCAGCGGTGTGATGCCTTCATCATCTGTATAAGTCGCGTCATAATCCGAAGACTCGAAGAGCTTTTCCATTGCTACTATGTCTCCTACTCTCGCAATCTGCATAATATCCGGTTCGGCCGGGGGCGGGTCGCCGCCCGGAAGGTTGCCCATCTCCATATCTTGAGAGTTCAGCTTCGGAGTGGCAGCAGAACCTTTCGAGGACGGTTGTATCGGGGCACCGGCGGAATTTATATTCGGTGATGTATTATGGCCCATCCTCAGAGCAAATAAGGAAAGACGGTCGATTTTCAGGATTTAGGAAGTATCGATCGATAGATAAAGGAAAACAGAAGGTTAGGGAAAAGAAGAGAGAAAAAAAGAAGAAAAAAGAGAAAGAAAGAGAGACAGAGAGAGACAGAGCAGTATCACGAAAGGTGCCCGGCAAGGAGGAATGAATTGGTTGAGGAAGAGACAAGCTAAGCACTTGAACTTGCGCAATTCAAATTGAGAACTAAGTGAATGATTCTTTATAAAAACCTGATGCCTCATTCAAAAAACATAATATTGTATTGGCCTTTAGAGAAAAAGGCATTGAAGCAAAGTCAGGCACCGTAACCAGGTTCTCGCCAAATATTTCATTAACGAATTACGAATGTCTTGCTTCGAATTGTTAGAGATTGTTAGAGATCATATATCAAATCAAATCAAATCAGGTCAGCAATCCGCGTCAACTAATAGGTACCTAGATAGGTAAGGTACGGTGCAGCGGTTGCAGCGGTGCCGCCTTGCCGTTCAGCCGTCGTCAGTGCTAAGCCACCTTTTTTTTTTTTTTTTTTTTTTTTTTTTCTGATTGATTGATCAAGTGAATCCATGTATGCTTATCAATTATACTTATCAGCTACAAAAGTACGTACCTCTCCCAATAGAACGGCACTTAGAGGTACCTAACGCTAAGATAAAGACCCTCTCTAAGACTTGGCATCGAATGATGACACTGTAACCCAACGAAGTTAAATCGTACATACCTAACCTTACCTACCTCTTACCGCAGGTACAAATTTCACAACAATGGCATGATACCATTTTTAAATACCGGCGGCAGCAAATCTTCTTTTCTTCTTCCACGTATTTTACACCCCTTTTCCCTTTCGCTGCCATCGCAAGCATCGCAGCGAAGATGGAGGCCCTCAAGCAGCTGCTCGAGTACCTCTTGACCCCCTCGACGGAGATCTTCATCGTCGGCGCACTCATAGTCTTCATCTTACCGGCAATCGTACACTTCTACATCGTCCAAACCACGCCCTATACTTCTCTCCCGTCCATTCTGCTCGCAGGGCCTCCCGCCGCCGGCAAGACCTCTCTCCTCACTCTCCTTGAGCGTGGCGATGCCGCCGCCGCCACCCACACCTCCCAGGTCCCCCAATCCGTCGAGCTCACCGTATCCGACGACCACGGCGCCAGTACCTTCCGAGAGGCCGCGCGCATCGATGCCCCGGGGTCCCACCGCAAGTTTTTGCTCGTCGATACCCCCGGGCACGGAAAGCTGCGGAACCAGCATGCCATGACCCACATCGCTTCCAACACGCTGCGTGGCATCGTGTACGTGGTTGACGCCGCCAGCCTGGACGACGGCTTGGCGGACGCCGCATCTTTCCTGTACGATGTGCTCCTGGCGCTCCAGAAACGCACCGGCGCCGGGAAAACCTCGAAGGCGCCTACCGCCATCCACGTTCTCGTCGCTGCCAACAAGCTAGACCTATTCACAGCCCTACCCGCCTCCCTTGTCAAGAGCAATCTCGAGGCCGAGCTCGGCCGGATAAGACGGTCTCGAAGCAAAGGGTTGCTAGATTCGGGGGTTGGCGTGGACGACATCGGATCCGAGGAGCAGGACGATTGGCTGGGCCAATACGGCTCTGAGAAGTTTTCGTTCGGTCAGATGAGGGAGTTCGATATCGAAGTCGACGTGATCGGCGGAAGTGTCCTTGACGGCAAGGTAGACAAGTGGTGGGACTGGATATCAGAAAAAATCTAAACCTTACCTTAATATGTAATAATTCTAGCCTCGGTGGGAGCAGCAATATTATCGGTGCTTGGCGGTTTGCTTGGTCACGTCCTTATTTCCGTGGTGTCTCATCACATAACGATACCATTGCGGAGGCTTAGCTTTAATATCTACTAGAGTGTTCGTATATGAGAATACTCCTTGCTAGTTGAGACTCAGGGCTATAAGCCGAATTTGCATCCCATCACCCTCAGCTACACGTCCTGGTTTTACTAGGTATTGGTTTTAAATAACCTCCTAATTATATCCTAGGTACCTACCTACCTAAGAGAATAGCTTTTCTCGTACTGTTAGGGGAAAGAAAACACGAGAGCATAAAAATGCTTCACTAGTGTAACAAATATAGCATCATTACGACTACGTGTTATACGTATCATGTCTATACGAATGTTTCGAAAAAATACCCGATTCTACTTGTGAAGGTTGAGCCTGAGCCCACCATATTTAACGCACCCTACCCAAGTCTATATTAATACTGTACGTTGATGATTTAGATGCAATTCCACCGTAGCGCCGTGCGATGACTCGTCTCCAAGTTTCTTAGCAGCGGGCAGCAAAAAGCCCTTCTTTGATAAACAATCCAACTTCAATCAAGCTTTAACCTGCTTGACCATCCAGGTCAGCAAGTCAACCTTGGTTACGACCGCGACAGGTTTGCTAAGCGCCTTGGCTTTTCCTTGGCTAGGTTCAGTGACGACGGCAGCACTGTTCCACTCGAAAAACCTGCTAAGTTCTGTAATAGGCGTATCGAGCGTGATCTCGACAAACTTGCGGCGCTTGCTTCCTTTCCCTTCTCGAGGGTCGGTAACCACCTCGTCTATCTTACTGAAGTCGAACATGACATCCTTAACCGGGCTTTGCCCGCTGGCTCGTCCACGCGATACGTAGCTGAGCAGATTGCCAAGGGTGACAAGGCCCACGAGCTTGCCTCCCGCGCTGGCAAGAACAGGAAGCTGATCGTAGCCCTTGTCACGCATGGTCTCGATAGCTTCGGCGCATGAACTGGTAGCAAGGACTGAGAGGACCGGTTTTAATCTTAGCGAGCGAACCGTTGCTCCTGAGTAAGGGTCATCAGGCTTCTCCACCGGGGTGTTATCAGCCACTGCTTCCTTTGCGGCCGTGTCGGCAGGCGGCAGAAGATCGTTAGCTGCCAGCCAGTCGTCATCCGCAAACTTTGTTAGATAGCTTCGGATGCTGTCCGGTAGAATGACAACGACAACGTCATCCTTACCCAAACCGAGATCCTTGACTGCCTTCAGTGCAGCGCTTAGAGCGCTTCCAGAACTTCCACCGACAAGTAGTCCCTCGTCGGCAATCAACCGTCGTGCGAGCTTAAAGGACTCCTTATCATCGGTCTTATACCATTTGTCAACTTTCTCCCGATCGAGCACATCGGGTATGAAATCGTAACCAATTCCTTCAACCTTGTACGGTTCGTCACGATGCTCGTCGTTAAGCGCCTCAGGCAAAGCCAAGATACTTCCTTGGGGGTCGGCAGCCACAACTTTGATATCCTTGTTATGTTTTTTCAACCCCTTTGCCAAGCCTGTGATGGTTCCACCTGTTCCAGCACCAGCAACAATACATGTGATTTTACCGCCGGTTTGTTCCCAGATTTCCTCAGCGGTGCCCAACTCGTGGGCCAAAGGATTATTTTCGTTTGAATATTGATCCAGGATGTGAGCGTTTGGTATTTCCTTAACCAACCTCCTCGCTACGCCAATATGGCTCTCAGGGCTATCCCAGGCGGCTTGGGTCGGTGTGCGGATGATGGTTGCTCCCAAGGCTTTCAGCACGGAGACTTTCTCGGCAGACATCTTCTCGGGTAGAGTAATGATGGTCTTGTATCCCTTGATAGCGCCTACTAGTGCTAGACCGATGCCGGTATTTCCGCTGGTGGGCTCGATCAGGGTATCGCCAGGCTTGATACGGCCAGTTCGTTCGGCCTCTTCGATCATCCGCAATGCTATGCGATCCTTGACGGAACCGCCAGCATTGAAAAGCTCAACTTTGGCATAAACTTCGCTCTCTATGCCAAAAGACTGTGGGATCTTGTTTAGGCGTACTAAAGGCGTGTTGCCAATTAATTCTTTAGCGGATATGACCGTCGCAGCACGCGGCGGGTTGTGCGGTACTGTGCCATTGGCGACGGTCATGGCGGGCAACGTTCGAACGGCGGATATTAGCTATTAAACCGAATTAAACGGTGGAAAAGTGACCGCTGGGTAGGTAGAATATGGGAAATTTTAAAAGTAGAATTTAGTTAGCGAAAGAAGAGGGAAAAAAAAGTTGGGAATAGGAAAGAATTTAAAGTTTTGGTCAGGTCAGACAGAATCTCGCCATTGCATTCGGTATGAGGCGAGAATTTACGAAAGAATCCACCCCACCATTCAAGGCTGCTTATGCCCCTCACTAGCCCACTAACAAACAAGCCGACACTATGCGCGCTACAAGGAACGGAAACACTGGAAATCTAGCCCAGCTGCCCAGCTGCCTAGGCTGCTAGGATAGTCTTTAGTCTATAAATCTACCTAGGTACACTATTATTCGGGGTTTTAACTTCAATCTGCAGGTGCTGTCGAAATTATTTATCGACATAAAGTAATGCAGCTAATACATTATTATACAAATACTACCTTAGGGAATACCAGTATATTTATTTCATCGACGTCAAAACACGAGATTTGCACTATAGGCCTGCTAATTCCTACATCATGCCAGATCAGTTTATACAATTGACCCACTATAGGCATCTGCATAACCAGGTAGCTGGTATTGTAACAAGGTAGATATGAGGTAGCTGCACCGTCTATGTAATCAGCTTATTTCTCAACTCCATTTTCTCTTTCTTAAGCTTTGAATTACCACAGCAGGAAGCCTAGTAATTTCTCAGCAGAGAGACTAAAGGGACAAAGTACACCATGAGGACGGATATTATGTATAACAAGAGAGGCCTAGGTAAGTAATTTGAAGTAAATATGAAGCGAATAGGCGGACCAAGATTAGCAAAAGCACCGAGCAAGAAACAAAGGTGATTATTGTAAGGCAACCAGATCTCCCCTAGCTTATATGATCATGGCTATTTAGCCAAAATCATTGAACTCTTCGTTTTGTCCAAATCGAAATTATAAACACCTGTAATTAGGTATATTGAATTTAATTATTCTTTTTTTCTCCCCTTTCCCATTTCTTTGTAGTATCATCACACCTAGGCCCTGGAGGACATTGTTTCTTTATTTCCATAGTTTTAGCAACAAGGTGAACCCTCTTTGAACCCTTTATGTTTGGCAGCACCGTCTATCTCCATTGTCTATCGCTAGCAAATACCCAACGTTTATAGAGGCCATCAAGAAGGAAGCATTCGTCGGGTGAACCCAATGCTCGTAAACTTACCTCAAGTTTAATTCAGCCGCTTATATGGATCCCGAATTCCTAGGCCAGCGTAACCACCAAGATTGGGAGCCTCAAGTTGAAGGATCAGAGCCGGACTTTGAAATTGACGACCCCGTATTTGACGGAGATCAGGGCATTGATTGGGAACCATGGTGGCAGATTATTGTACATCGAAATGGAGGTATTCAGGAAGCCGAACCACCCGAATATCCGCCTGAAGCCTGGAGTCTAGATAGTAAGGATGTCCCTTTCCCTTTTAACCTCGACGAGACGTGGTACTGCACAGCGGTGTTGGTGCTTATACTTCTTATACACTCTGAGTTGGATACAGAATGGTTGCTCCGGCACGGGTATACGCACTACTTCGCACGGATATCCTTCAGAATAATTCTCACGGTATCTATCTCTTTCCTTAGCACACTGGCTTTCGAGGTCGCGGGCAATATACTTGACCTGGCAAGGGAAACCGTTATTGATATGATATCACTCCACATAAAGGCTTTGTTCGTCGAGTACCTAGGCTGGGGACCCGTTGACGAAGAAGGACGTGCTAACTGGGAAAACCGTGTTCCATTCTATCAGGATACGACTTATATACGCGAGCCTGCCATTGAACTAGTCATTGGCATTGTCATATCGGCTTTCCATTGTTCAGTTATGACACATATTTCAGTCATTCAACTAGCAACAGGCGCAGCGATTAGTTGGTTAGTGGGACTGCTTCCAAATCATTCAGCTAAGTTCCTCGTGAGCTTGCCTTCTTATTTTGCTTTACCTATACCTGAAACGGATGGTTTATCCAGTATCACGAATCTGCTCTGGGAGTACGGGGTCCCTTCGATTATTCAGGTGTGGACAGCGGCATTCTTGTACCTTTTCGTCTTCCTGTTCATGTCGAGAGCGGAAACACCGATCATCTTAAGACAAGGTGGCCAAGATCCCTTCTGTAAACTTGCTTTTCAACTCCTTCGGGCGACGGCCATGCACTTGCTAGCATATACAGCGTATCAAATCACCAGCAGTTGTGTAATCGCTTCTCAATCACTCTCACTTCGGTTTAACGTATACGCTTTACACGACTCCATGGTTGGCCACAAAGTTTTGGAGAGGAGCAACCTCGAGTTGTCTTTAGGAGCCGGCGTATTGATTATGGCTACGCACTGGTTGGTTAAAAATGCTTGTAGACGGCTTGTTGCTTTCTGTTGGCCATCATGGGTCTCTTATGTCGCATGGTTATCCATCAAGACAGAAGAATCTACTTGGCGGAATTGGGCTGTATATGGGTCTTTGCTCGACGATGACATGGACGTGCTTGATCCGGGTAAGAGGGTCACTGCGAGGGCATTGATGACTGTCCTGTTTGGTTTGAAGAGCTCGTGGCCAGCTAGGATGAGGCTAAGCACGGGCGATAACATAGACTAGCTGCATTTTGTACATTCTAACCGTATTCTTTGCGCAGGCGTGCTGGATATTGAAGCTGCTAGATACCTTAGGTACCTTATAGGTGTAACTATAAGGATATATTGCTAGTTAATTTCAGTGATTTAATCTAGTGTATTTCATCTTACCCCCTTTTCTCCCCAATCCCACAAGTACATACGTTAAGTACTAATATATATTTCCGCTTGTATATTTGGCTAATCTGACCTAACCATATATACCATTAATCAACGAAATTCCACGACTTGTCGTAGATAATAATCTAGTTGCACAATACTATTGCTATTAAGAGTTGGTTGACGGTGGGGCCCAGCTTGACAGATTTGTTACTTCATGATCTCGAAAATTGACATCATTGGTCTAAGCTTCTAAACATCCTGGTGTCAATCCTGTCTATCAGAGGCGTCTGGGCACGGGTTATCCCCGGATCATAAAACCCGGGCCCCTTTTTAGCGTTGATTGACCTGGTTTGGGCTCAAGGGGATAAGCAACTCATTTCATTTTTGCTTGATGCAGGTGAATCAAGTCAACTTCTTACTTTTAACTGTCCCCGTACCATGCCTTTAACTTTCATATATATTAGCTGATCTTATAAGTGATTAAGTTCTGATGCAAGTGCAATGACACCGCCCTCCGGTGTAAAAAGGCCGCTTAAGGCTGCCTGTGAAACCCCTCGGGCACAGAACGCGCCGGTAAAACGCGCTAGACATAAGAGCTCGAGCAAGACGAGCACGGCGGTCTGGGACGTGACAGGCCGCTACAACCTTAGTTGTGCAAATAAGTACCAGCCCGTGGACGCCAACGATTATGTTTTGGATATGCGTTATACGCATACCGGCTCTCATACCTGCCAGCTATATGCCTTTTTTAATTTCCCAAACCTGAACCTGACTGGCAGGATGCGTTTGTGCCCGAAGAATGCAATCGCATCAAGTTCTAACGGAAAACTCTTTCTCAATGATTTCGAAGCTGCGTGTGAGCTAGCTGAGGATATTAGACCGGGCCCGAAGTCGAAGGAGTGGTTGATGAGGGTATGTAGCCTTAACCCGTCTTCCTTGACTCTTTCTTCTTCCCGCTCATTCTTGAAAGTTAGGCTTATTACCAATATCGACCTTGGCATAACCTCATTTAAGTCTTTCACCCAGTCAGGATGTTTGTTGCTAATTCTCTATAACAGTGGCGAGGCGAGGAGGACGGCTTCCGGCTTGGTGGGGAGACTCGGGCGCAAGGACAATTCCTATTCGAAGAGGAAAATGACTCCGGTGAAACTGACAAGGACCCCAAGATACGAATCAAGTTCGCCATGGTGCACAAGGGCAAGCACATAATCCTAGAAGGAATACAGCAAGACACGAGCCCGGAGACCGACGAGGAGAAGGCTGCCGCCGAAGATCCGACGGCAAAAACCGAAGCATCCAGGATGCTCGAGGATTGGAAGCAGCTATACGAACCATTGTGGGAACAAAATTCCCCTTCAGATACTGAAGAGGATGAGCGCGAATTACTTGTGTTGCAGCCGAATGGCGCGCCCTTGCCCAAACCTCACAACAAATGGGAGAATCCACGTACGGGGAGAATCATTTCAACTAAAAACAAACCCGGACCGATTCCCGGATTTGTTGTCAACGCGAGCGCGACCTCACGCTATCTTGAAGAACGTCCTGGCTGGGCCTGGAATGTTATGGGGAAATATGAGATCAGTACTGTTGGGCTCACTAAGGCTTTGGGTATATCCGAAGGCGAGCCCGTGGCTATGACCATGACGGTCCAAATGGATAATAATTCGAAGCACCAAAAAGCTGGCCGGCAGCTTTGGGCTATAATCGAAGCTGATGACTTACTCGCCATTGCACGCTTTCGGCCAAATCCCACACCGAACAATTTATCAGAGGACCCAGTAGAGGTCTTTGAGAAAGCTTGCGTCCTGAAGCCAGGAGTATGGGTTGGCCCTAAGCCGCAAGGCACGCAGAATTGGGAGATGCGTTGGAGGGGTTTCTCTGATGCTAGCTTGCAGACGATGGCCGAGGATGTTGTAGGGTCGGAAGTCATGTTCACCAAAGATGATCAGGGAAAGCTGGTATTTAGAGGTAAGATAATAGTTGAAGATGAGAGCTTTTTGGTGGTGGGGAGATGGGTTGCGCCTACGGAAGACAGGCGTCCCACGGCTCCTACGATTAACACCGAGTGGGCGAAGTATTTTAAGGGGAAGCCTGCTATAAAAATACGCAGACATCCAGAACATATTATTGTCCTAGATAAATACTGTCAATCTACACTAACCTGAGCGGCTTCGTGCCCGCTTATGTGTGCTAGCTTGTGCTGCTTAACATGCCTACCGCGCAACCGCGTACCGCGGACGCCCACATGCGACGTTTCCCTTTCACATACAGTCGAGTTTACTTAATGTCATAGATCTATAGGAATATCCTAATTGTAGTCCTGTGTTGATGAGTTCTATCTAGAGCTGATGTATGACCTCCTTAATGACACATCATGAAACTCGTGTAATGGGAGAGACTGCCTAAGAAAATAATGGGTAAAAACCGCAATTTACTTTGCTTTTAGAAAGTCTAAAGCCTCGGACAGTAGAAGTAACTTAAGGTGTATTAATGATTTGCGCAAGTCTCACGGTTGTAGAGGCGAGTGTAGGGGTTATCTTTTACACTTGAGCTTGATCTTAATACAGTAGATCTCCTCTCCAGTTTTTAAGCAGATATGCTGCCTTCTACAAGATACATTAGGTACTCTTTCGCCGTCACATCATACGTATCAAGAATCGGGAGCGCTGCATACTTCAGGGACCTAACACGGCGTTTATTCCCTGATCTCAGCTAGATTACCAGACTTGCAGTTCATCAACAAGTGCGGCTAGTAGATACCTCCTAACCTTTAAAAAGTGATTTCTAATCTAGTGCTAGCCTCACCTCCAATACTTGTATTTCTTTATAGAAGTACTACCGCCTAATGTTTAAAATCAATGACCAACCGAAAAGCCTAAGGGTGTCTTGCATTAGCTACTAGGTAGTGATATTCCATATACAATAATAAGATGCTGACCACATACATAGGAGTCCTTGGACAAGAGTTCTAGCCCGACAAGCTAAATACAATCATCTAGAACACGGACGCCATAACGCCACGGAGCTATGGTAATCCAATTCCCCAAATTGTCGACCGCGTGGACAGGTAGAGCAAGGGTATTGATTCTGCCTTGCCAATGTTCCTCCTGCATCGAGTGCAGCTTTAGCTATGAGTAGCGTACCGTTCTCGCTTGAGGCAATGCTGCGAGTGGCTGGCTGAGCCAAGTCGCTTCTCAATCGGGCATCGGCTGAACAATAGTCTGCTACGTGGACAGGAAGCAAAGCAGGCGAAACTAGTCAGACGCGAATCAAACTTCGTGCGGCTGAAAGGACCTTACAGCTGCTAAGACATGCATTCTGCATTCCTATGCAACTCCTCACGATAATAAGCTTGGTTCTAGCTCCTTTGGCTGAAGCACGATAAACATTGATACTTCGCTAGACATGGATGAGGGTTGAGAGTGATTAAACGGTCCCTACCATATAGATATCTACCTGATGTAGGTACCTAGGCTGACTGGCGTCAACGCGGAAGCGGTAGGGTCACGGGAGGGAACTGTCTATACAAATACCGCGCCTACGCTCCCGCAGACACGGGGCTGTTATCACTTTAGAATTGAGCAGTCCGTCACGCTGTTTAGCATCCATCACTCCTCTGGAGCAGCGAGCCTCGTGCATCAGAAACGAGGTTGTCAAGAAGACGCGGAGTAGTTGCCCGATAAACAGCAGGATAGAGACCTAGAGTAACCTGCGAAATGGAACCGTCAAATGCAATTAAAAGAGGGGAGGTTGTCATCCCGACCCCGACATGGTTCATAGCACTACGAGTCCTCCAGATCGTCTTGTCGCTTGTCGCGGTCGCTTTGACCGGTTGGTGGATCCACGGTCTATACTATGATGAACTCGGCTTCGTTATAGTCTGTGTATGTTACAACTTCTTTCCCTCAAGAAATTTCTCTTACACGTAACCTCCTCTTACTTCTTCAAACCCCGTTCCTAATCTTCGAAAATGAATGTCTTCATGGCTAATGCTGTCTTGTCAACGAACAGGGCATATTCACCTGGGTCATAGCTGTGTACGCCCTCTTGGCCGAGAAGGTATCGTCTTGCCGGCGTGCTTATAATACTTGGGCGATCCTCACACTCGACGGGCTGATGATCATTTTCTGGCTAGCCGCTATGGCTGCGACTGCGAATCGGCGGAGCAAGTTTACTATACCGGTGAATGCGAGCTGCGTCAGCGATGGCAGCACGATAAATAGTGGTTATTGTACGGTATGGAAGCGTGCTGATGTTGCCTCGCAAGGGGCTCTCGGCATCCTAAGTGGAATAGCAGGCATTAGCGCTCTGGTTATGCTTCTGTTTGTCCCTACGTTTGCTTACGTATGTCACTATTTCCGCCTTTCATTCGCTGGCGCCTCGGCAAACGATCCCGAAAAGGCCTCTCCTGCAGCTGCTTCTGTTGGCGTCCCGGGTGCTACGGAACTGCAAGCAGGAATCCAGCAGCAAGAATATGCGGTAAATCAGCAACCTAATCAACAATGGACCCAACAGACAGTATATCCCCCTCAGGCAAGCCAGCCGCAATACCAGCAAGGCCAGGTAAATGACCCTTACGCATCGCATAACGCCGGATATCCTGGCGCGACAGACACATATCCTCAGCAAACCAACCAGCCCGAGCAGCCATATAATCAACCATACAGTCCTCAGGGTACACCAGCCCCTTATAATATGCAAGGCACACCAGCTCCAGGGCAACAGTTCCAGCCGCCTTACCAGTCAAATATTCAGTAGTCAGTAGTCGACACAAGCAGAACACTTGTTCCCCCACCTTTATATGTGTTCTATAGGCGGCAAGGCGTTATGAGATGGGTTTCCTGTGGTAGACATGAACATATTTGGATAGTATCTCAGGGTGAATACGGGCATGGTTGGATTGGCATGGGTTTGGTTTCTTGAGACGCCCTTTTGGCCTTAAAATTTATATTTAAATCCGCATATATCATTATCATGAATCATCATAACGAGGTCCAAGGCGCATAGCACAACTTCAAAGTCCCCTTATAGTTTGGCTAGAAGCTGTCATATTTCGTGAAGATACTGGAGCGGTGTTTTCACATCCATTACAAGGCGGTAAAAGCCTTGATACCAATTGTGTTGGGAACCTAGTGCCCATTTCGCATGATGCCTTGGCCCATACCATGCAAACATTCTCTTCAACCACGAATGTCAGGGTTGAGGGCGTATCTTGTGATATATGAGCTGAAGCCTACTATGCTTCCGCCATGCCTGCCGTAGCCTGCTGTAATAGGAGTCGAGTCCAGCATGTCATCGATCCACTGCTGGTAATGTGGCTCGGCACCCAAGACGCTTCGGGCCATCCCTACCGGGAATAGATACAGGCAAGCCTGATCGTCAAGAGCGCCACACTGACCGTGGTGCCGACATTGCCAATCAAAAACACGACATATTTCAAGGGCAGGGTCTCGAATAGAAAAGGCGCTACCGGGCTCACTTAATGGTTCGAATGAAACGTGTGATAATGTTGAGGACTGTGGCGTGAAGGCCGATGAGGTAGCAGCATGTCGTGCGCATTCTTGTATGATGGATTTTGTTTGTAACGGATTTAGTTTCCATAAAAGAGTCATCAACCACATCAGGGCAGAGTTATAGAGCATGATATCATTAGCATGCATAGAGCGATCGAACCGCAAGCGTCCGAGTTCCTCAGGAGTGTCGGTGAACTCGGAATCTGTTGGGGAATTATTTGATTGACGTTCGTAACCATCTGTTGAGACGTATTGGCCATATTCGCGTTGCCAGTCCCAGCGCCACCGGAAAAGTTTCCCTAGTAGAAGGACCATATATTCACATAAATTCTCACGACAGATCAGACGCTTATCTGAGGCGGGGGGAGAAGCGGCTGGATCGTCCTCTGGATGATAGCCCATGCTGTCAATGCGGGCGTTTTCTTCTAGCAAACCTGGTATAGCGACTAAGATATCGAGCAGTCTTGATTGCTGGGGTTTTGCACATGGGTCTAATGCGTATGGAACGTCTTGCCAGCGTGGATCTTCGAGAAATATCCTTCGTCTGGAAAATAACGAGGCAATTAGCTATAAGACATTAGCTACCCGATCCATATATATCATGTTGGATTGCGTACTAAGGTGGCCCTGGCAGCTTCGAAGGCGTTCCTTAGGGGCTGTTGCTGAAATGCCCTTGGACCGCACAGTATCAAGACCTTCTCAATTGCCTTCAGATGAAAGGCAGCGCCAGTTCTATCTGTTTGAATCGCCTATGTAGTGCTATTAGAAAAGTGTTCTCCAACTCGTATTTTTTTGTTCTTGCTCACGACCTACCGAAACCATCATCAGGACGAGAATGGGTACTACAAGCCTTCTATTATCGTAAGCTGTGGCATTGTCTCTACGAAGCTCTTCGGCTAGGATCCTTAAGCATCTTCCGTACTGTGCTGCCCCTTTGAATTGAAGTTCTTGAACCTTATTATTTAGACCGAAGCTCAACTGAGAGAGGGCGGTCACGGCATCAAGAGAAAGGTTCCCAAGTTTGCCCTCGCATGCGTGGTTGAGCCACAGGGAGCCATAGGACCTCCATACGAAGTTTCCGAACATGTGAGCCGTGCACATATCCCTTTCGAAGGCGCCTAGACTGAGCTCTGGTGGGGGGACGAAACTCACGGGCACCGGCTGCACGATATCCACAAATTCAGACATGTGCAAGCGGGATGTTGCAACCGGGGCCAGTGAAGTGTGTCGCCATTGCGTGACTCTCTGATAGCCTAAACATTCGAAACCAGCCTTGATGCAGCGACCGCATTGGGGTTTCGCCTCATCTATTCACAGGTCAGTCAACAATAAAGACTTCATAGATTGGACAATGTCCAAGAGATGGGGACTGGTCCATACCACACTTAACCCTTCTTTTCCGACAAGTATTGCAGCCCTTACTCCTGCCAGCTACGCCAACCATGATGAGCTGCGGTAGATGTGAGATGAGGCGCTGCGAGATATGTCCAAGTACCTATGATAGCCTTGTGGGCCGAGGCGGGGGAAAAGGTCTTTGACTTCAGAATGCGCTGGGTTGCACTTTTTGAACCAGAGAGATATCATGATATAGATACATAGCCACAGGACTAGGACATTTAAGATAGGCGTAGCGGCTCATATAAGGTTCCAGATGTGACCATTTATTAGAGAGGCGGCTGTGCTCGTTTAGTTGGGCAGAGCCCAGGAGATGTCGACAGGGACAGAGTCGGACGTGGACTCCAATTCCGGTCGGATTTGGTGATGACAAAAATAGTCGAAGGGGAATCGAATAAGCCAATGAGTGAGCTGCTACTGATTAGACCATCCAAGTTAATTGCTACATCACGAGTGCGCTAAGTCTGCAGCAAGAGGGTTGCATACGACGTTACCCCTGCCTCTAGTTTTGGGATAATCGCGATACCGAAACCATCGACCAATCTACCAAATTCGTTCCTGACTTACTCTTGCTATCAGCTCAGTCTATAATAATATTTCATCCCCTGAGTGCTAATGCGGTCTTTTCTTTTCTTATTGCTAGCCTTGGGGTCGACACTCTTTAAGAGGTTAGTAGTAATATCGTGCCTTTGACGATTATTCGATGAGCTCGAACTCTTAAGCGCAGTGCCTGCTTTGATGCCTACCTTAGATTAGGTACTTTAGGTAAGTAAATAGCTACCGGATAGATGTCATGTAACTGAACGTAAGTATATCTAAGGTACCGTCGCAGCTGAAGCACGTCTCTTTCATCATATAATGCTAGGCACCAGCTGAGCACGCTTTTTAATATAAAAGGATTCTTTGGGTAGTACAAGGCGTAGTTTGACGCGTATCGCTTACTTCTTTTCTGTCTCTTCCAAGTAAGAGCCCCTATCGTAGGTATGTGACTACTATGTGCCACGGTAAGATGACACTTGAGATGGGAAAGATAAGACTGGCTGAAAGAATGTCCTCAAATATGAATTTGCTAAAGTGTATTAACTACCACATTTAAACTTGGCTGGCCGCACAGTTCGGGCTATTCTCAAGGCAGTATTAGTGCATATGTCTTAAGGCTTTTCGAGGGGTTAGTTGATTTTTGGTTGATATAAGTCAAGTTCGCACTTGAGGACATACACATATACCTAAGATACTTAGGTACCTAGGAAGATCCTTAATGAAACTTCTAGATTTAAATCAAACAGATAATGCAGGAAGATTAATAGGTAAAAAACTAGTTGGATGTGCCTATGCAACCCATAGGGCTGGACGTTTCGGGTCCACTGGATCCACTGCCTCGGGGTGTGCCCATTTAGCATTACTTCACTACCTCTAGGTACCTGCACTGACCTAGGACTTTAGGTATAATTTCCACCCCCGCACTGATTATGCCGGTCTCCGGTAAGGACGGGAATGATAACATTGGAGGACAGGTACCAAACCTTAAGTCACATCCATGGATGTAGCCTGTAGGTAGGCTAAGGTACCTAAGACCGCGTGATTTCGCAATCAACTACCAAGTTTTTTTTGTTTGTTTTTTTCAGCTCAATAGATTTATACGACACCCTGCCACGCTGCTTACAGCACATGCATCTCGCCTTACCATCTATCATTTAATGCCCGTAGCATATACTACGCACGCTTAGGTATTCTCAGGGGTAACGTCCACCCGCTGTGACCCTCGGTGGGAATGTTCAAGTTGCAGATGGTGGCTTATATATTACTTTATAATCCTCCGAGGGATTCTTAATCAATATCACTGTACCCCAATGTTGAGTACAGGTAATCTTAGGAGGTACCTAGGTAGATGATGGAATATGCCGCTAATATGCCGCTAAAAACCGGTTTTATACCCGTTTCCATGCGGTGGTGAGGAAAGCCAAGATGATGGCTTATACATAACCCAAAGAAAGGTACTAACTCGTTCCTTGAAGCATTAAAGAGGCTAATCTAGGTATGGAAGAGCCTTTCAAAAGTTTTTACCATAGGGAAACCCCTGTCAGCTGACAGGGCTGTCAAGCTTATTCAAATTATATAACCTCGCTGTCGAAATACTGAAATACTATTGAATATTCAAAATACTATAACTAATTAAAAAAAAAAATCTCTATACTTCCGATTCATCTTCAATATCATCCCAATCGATCTCTTCTTCTGGCAGTGGTAGTGTCAAGTCAATTAAAGTCCGTTTTACCCGTTGTTTCTTCAAGCCTTTACCCTCCTTATATTCTTTACCCCCCTCTAACTCAATGACTTTTTGTATATAAATTGGAATGCGCTCAATCCAGCCTTGTATTAGCTTTTGAAGGCTCCCCATTTCGTACCTAGTTAGCCTTTTCATGTAAAACCAGCACCACTCTATTGCATTCAAATCAGGCGAATTCGGTCACCAAAGCATTCGTGCTACTTGGTGTAGATCGTGCGTTTTTGCTTGAATCCAATGTGCGTCCTTACGGGACAACGAAGTTGTTTTACCTACCTCATGCTCTGCGACGTGACAAATAGTATCAGACCTCATTTTCGCAAGAATAATCCCCTTACGATAGCGGTACCAGTCGATTCCTCCATTACCTCCTTGTCCCAATTTGCCTGGTTTTTTTTTCGTAAATATCCATACAGGCTTAGGGCCAGGCATATTGCGCAAGCCTAATCGCCTCATCGGCGTATTAAGCCCCCACTCGGCCCGAAATATCGGCTTGAATTCGTTGTTAAGGGCGTCTATTTCAAGTAAAGAGGCTTCTTAATCGTACGTAAAACATCCCCAAAACATAAACTCTAAATAGCCCTTCCAACGCTCTCGAATACACGATTTAGTAGCTGTTTCAGAGGGTAGCCGCTACACGCGATAGCTGCCTCTTCGTTGAAGGAATACAACAGACGTTTCGACAAACCATGTAACGTTTTTCAATCCTCTAAGATCCAGTCTTTATAGTTTAGGTAAGCACCATTCGAGCCTTTATTGCCTCATCCGCTTTGAAAGCCCTGGCTTTCTTGTAGGTTTAGTCTTCTTAAAACCAGCCTTTTCAAGCACTCGCCATACAGCAATATCCGATATTTGAATACCCTCTTGACGTAACTCAGCTACTAATACCTCACAGTTCTTTTCGCGGCCGTATCTATTTTTTGAAATTTTATTGACGAATCTTTCAGTAATAACCTGGGTCTGAATCGTAGGTCGACCTGAGCAAGAGGCATCTTGTAAATACTCATCTTTGAAGATAAGTGGGCGGAGACTAGGATCAAAGCCTCGGTCAATAGCCCGTTGATAAATCTTATCACAAATACGAGGCGATTGAGAAGGACAATAACAGCTCTAATAGCAATATCCGTACGAACCATAGTCAAAAAGAAATTGAAAAAATTGAATTGAAGTATCTACAAGTAGGTCTACGTGTCTAGTATACTGGAATATATTTTGATCTATTTTAACCCTTTCATGATAGACGAAAAAGTAGGTATACAAATCGTAATGTTATTTGTGAAAATAGCCTACCGTATATTAACAACAAGCTGTTATAAGTCAGCCCCAAAATTCGCCAGCTGCGCTGCCACTTAGCGGGTAGCACGTTCCAGTCTACAGGGGTTCCCCATGGTAAAAACTTTTGAAAGTATATATCCAATTGTCTAGAATGATAGCCTATTGAGTTCGTAACCCGAGTTTACACTACCTCCAGTTTACACTGCCTACAGCAAAGAACCCGAGAGCCTAGGTGCAGCATGAATAAACATGAACATTTTAATGCAAGCCAGATCTATTTGTCGATCTTAATCTTGGTTGTTGTGGATAAGATGTAAGAGGCTTGGATTTCTTTCCGGTAGAGACTTTGATACCGTAATTCTTTGAACATTTTAGGACTCATCTGCGCCGGCGGGATAATACGTACCAGGTAACTACCTATACTATCTCTTAAATATTCTATCCCCCTAATTTCCCCTTTCTTTAAAACGCAACGAGTATTCAAGGAGTAGGTACGAAGTATAATTCAAGATTCAAACCAACATCTAAAGACTTTGTCATTAAAATTATATTAACTTGAATCGACATACTAATATTTACCTGCTTCGTACCTAGATAGTATTCAATAATAGTTAATTTAGGTTAGGTAAGGTAGGTATTCCAATAGTTCGTGTACGACGGACCATGTTGTCCGATCGTCTTCATCATCCTTGTCAAGCCAGTCAAGCCAAGCCAACAAACATTGGCTTTCTTGACAACAGAATACGAGATGAACTAAACTAATAATGGCGCGTTGATTCGCGTCGGGCTCAGCCCACCAACGACCGGCATCTCTCGACAAGGCCTTGAAAAGCTGTGTTTATTTATCTTTCAAGATCCCCCCCCCCCTCCACCCAAATTGTCACCTTGATATTTCAATAACGACAACCTAACGAACCGTCGCCATATCCTGTACCTGTTACAGTTACCCAAAAGCTCGAAAGCCATCAGAAACCAAATAAAAGCAAATAAAAATGTCTTCCTCCGCACCCAGCCCGACGCCAACCTCTTGGAGCTGCGGCAGCCAGCTCTACAATATCCCGGTACAAGATGCTGCCTGTGGGGTGCCTGCGATAGACAACAGCACCGATATCATGGTTGCATGCTGCGGTAACGTCGATGTCGTCTCCTACTACGACGGGTGCGGCCTCTACTGCCTCGCTGCGGGCCAGAGCGTTGGTGATCTCAGCCAGTGCATACAGGATAAGGGGCTATTCCCTGGTTACGTCTTCTGCACCCAGAGCTCCAACGCTACCGCTACCGACACGGGCGCCCCTTTACCCACCTCGGCCAATGCCACCGTCGTCGCCTCCCATGGCAGCACCGCGAGCCCAACTAAGAGCGGCGGAAACAGCGACAGCACCTCGACAGAAACTCCCGGTGCCGCCGCCGGCCTCCGCCCCGAATACACTACCGTGGGCACCTTGGGAGCTACGATCGTAGCCCTGCTCTTCTCCGCAACAGCATTCGGTGCTTTCCAGCTATAATTTATGAATTCAATGGGGGGAAATTCTTACGTATGGCGAAAGAAAAAAAGGGGGGGAGGGGGATATAATAGGAACGCCGTACATAGCCCGTCAGGATCGGATTCTAGCGCATTATACCACTGAGAATTTAGAGTTTCAAAAGTCAATTCTCGGTTAATAACCGGTTACAAAAGGGATTAGATGTAGCATTTGCAGTCTAATATACCTACGAATACGAATATGACATACACTGGAACTACAATTTACCTAACGATAACTAATATTTTCATTGATAAATAGCAGTACCCCTGCTACGAATACTCCTTATAAAACGTCCATGTTATAAACGTGGGTTCGTCAGTTTTTTTATATTGCTGGTGATATATTTTAATTACTTTACTACATCCCACCCTGTTCCTACCGAGCCTCTAAGCAACACGCTCTGCTTGGACTCGGGCTCTATTACAAGCAGATATACCAGAGGTCCCTAACCTTAAGCCTCCCCCAAGGTAGTGCGATGGTATCAAGAGACGGACACATTGCTTCGGTTACATAGTCTAGGTAGAGTATGCACGCGGTTTTAATGCCGTCTCGAATGAAATTATTAAGATCGAATAGCTTAGGTGCGATCAGAGAGAAAAATGCAACTATACGTTGCTGTGGCGAGCTCGCTTGCGCCCGCTTCCTGTCACCGGGTGAAGCTTGTCGTTCCGCTCTCGTTTGAGCTTCTCGTCCAACACACGAGCTATCAATTGTTAGAATTACCATATTTTCCGTATAAACATCCGACCAGCGCAAAAAACTTACTAAGAACGTCGTAACCGAACTCGGGGAATTCCAAGCACAAGGAACGGAATTCGTCCTCCGCCTCCGAACGTAATGTATGGCTGCGGGTAGCCCAGAAGTTGGCGATAGGCGCGCGCACCGTCGCATCTTCCTTGTTGGTATACTGGTAAATGTAACGGGCATAGGTGATCTCTCCCTTTGCCGTCGAATTGACGCAGTGAATCTTGGTGATAGCAAGGCTTTTCAGCTTTTCCATCCCGAATTTCCCAGCCAGTGTATAGACGCGCGCATGTTTCAAGAGTTGTTCACCGGCTTCGTCGACGGCAGGAATGGAGGGATCTTGTTCTAGTAGTCGCTGACCTGGAAGCTTCCTAGGGAAGTAGTCTCCAGTATAGAGGAATTCTAGAAAGCAGCCGATGGCGTCTAGCGGCTCATTCGGAAGTTCTATTTGTCGCGGCTGCACAAAAACGCGTTAGAAGACAGAGTGAAAGGTACAGACGGGAGCTATAATAACTAGGAAAGCCGCATTGGAGAGACGTACACTTCCATCGTCCGTAAAGGCGGCACATGCGTCGGAGAAGAATGGGCTCTGGGTTAGAAGTGCTTGATGCGCAGCGAGGATGGTCTCCGTCTCGCCGGTACCGACAACCAGAGTTACAACAGGGCTGGTCAGGTAACTAATAAAACTGGTACGAGGCTCAACATCAGAAACCTCGGGGAAGAGTAAGTCTCCGCCGCTGTTTCCAGCAGCAGCTCCCTCAGTCTCGTCACCCTCAACCATTTCGACATCCGCGCCCGGGTTGGCTTGCTGTTCCTCGGCTGGATCTTCGGTAAACCCTTCTGCCATATTCGCGTTCGTTACGGTGAATTGTTAATTAGATATGAGTAAAGGATAGTAGAGCGTACGTCACGAGGGCGCGTCGTAGCTGATGCCGGTGAAGGAATGTTTTTCTGCTCTAACGGTAAATTGTAGATTGCGACGGTCGTATAGAATTCGAATATGAGATATTCGTTACAGAAAATAAATAAATTAACAAATAATAGAAAAGATGCAAGTTCTATTAGCGTTTTAAAAACGAGAGGATTCGCTGTAAAAGATGGTTGAGAGAGAATGTTGTTGCGATTGCCAGCGACAGAAATTGATTAAAATCAACAAGCTTTTAGAAGCTTCAAACCAGCTACGGGTACCTACCGAGGAGGTACCTAGCTGTCAAGAGGCACTAAGACAGAGGTACAAACCTATTGTAACTAGAGATATTTAAGCTTAATTGGTTGCTTCTGCTTTGTTTGGTTGCCTGGACAAAAACGAAAGATCAGGGGGGTGAGTTCACCTTCCAATTGGCCAGAGGGTTTCTTAGCGTCAGAGCTTCCCGCAAATAGAGTTTTGCTAATACTTACCTAGGTACCTACGTGTACGTATCACAATAGCAATATCAATTTAATAAGATCTGATACACCAGATCGTTGGAATTTTCCAAGGCCCGTAAGCGCATAGATCGTACCTACCTAAGGCAGGTAAGTATCCGGTAGGTAACGAATATCACGAGAAAACCAACCACGATCTCGAGGTGGTCACATAGGAATAGTATTCCATAGACAATAACAAGTAACTATATTACAGGCATCTCCTTTAATATTCAGAACAACGGCATTGACAGAGGTTTATAGCCTAGTTACCAGTTTTTTGTGTACCTAAGACTATCTACAAACGCGTCAGTCGTCTTCTTTTTCTCTACGAACGTATATGTATGCGCAATTAAGCGCATATGGTGTCATAGTCCGCTATTCAAAAAGTCTAGTATTTTCTTTTCGAGTATAAAACTACAGCCTACCTAGGTAGATACCTAAAATATTCCCATCTAACTTGTCAGCTGGCACGGTATAGCTTGTCTAGAAAATGGCGGAGCCGCAGCTAGCCGATGTCCCTCCTCTTCCACCAGGCCTAAGGCACCATATTCATCCAACGGCCGAAATTCATAGGAATTTGAATGAACTGAAGCAGAATTTCGGTAACGCTGCCTCGAAATGGAAATACGAGGGTCTCGAAAGCTTCAGTCAAAGGTCTATAGTTGTTCGCATGGGAGTCAAGGAGGGTATGGTAACTAAGACCCGGTATCGTAGGCTCGTTATAAAGCGAGCCTTTACTGAAATGAGCGAGGACACTCTAAGGAATGAGATTGAAACCATTGAGGTTCGTATTGCGTAGTTCTTCCAATATCAAGCTCGCTATTGCTAACGACAGAGTAGAGTATTCATCCTGCAGAACACATTTTAAACCCTCTAGTCACCCATGAATACGCGCCTCTGCCAGGGGAGGGCGAAGGCGAAGGTGAAGGCGCAGAAGGTGGAGGTGGAGGTGCGGGAGGTGCTGGCCCTGCCGAGCATGCAGCCGATGAAATCGTTCGGCTGTTCCGACGGGTCAGACTAGGTGCCCGAGAAGCAATTAGAGATCCTCACATCCCTTCGGCACTGAGAAGGAGAAGAGAAGACCGCAGAATGACCAGCAGAAGACTCGTCAAGGAAGCGAATTTAACGGCATTAAACGATTACCCTTACATGATATCAGAGTATCTCGAGAATGGAACCCTGGACAGGATGTTACTTAGAGCAGCATATCATCGACGACCCGTCCCGAATCGAGTTCTCTGGTCTGTAGCCCTGTGTAGTATGTCAACCCCCCCCAACCCCCTTTTTTTTTTTTTTTTTTTTTCCCCTCTCTCTTCTTCCCCTTCTTCAAATCCTTCAAATCTTTCATATATACGAAGCTTCGAGTGCTAACCTTCCAAGTGCTGAGGGCGTGTGTGGGTATAGCATACGGAAGGCCGTCTCCGGAGGACTACGACGCCGCACGAAGGGGGGAGATAACAGATACGAGACTGGAAACCGTCCCGCCGGATGCGGGTAATCCGAGAGGCCTAGTCCACGGAGCGATAGACAGGACCAACTTTGTTTTTGGTAGCCCAGGTGGTTTTCCAGAGCATGATCTTGTACCCTCCCTGAAACTCATCGATTTCTCACAATCATATATGGTCGAGAATGCTGCCGTCGTAAAGGATCATTTAATGGAGATGGGAGGAGTAAGCAAAACACCTTCTCTTAGGCATCGTAACATACTGACTTCCAATTTCTAGATACTTCTCCAATTAGCTGTCGGCGATTACAGCCACGAAATACTTACAGAATCTATTGCGAACCCATCAATCCAGAACGGCATCTGGACAACTGCAACTGCTTTATACGAACTTCAGCAGGGTGATAATGTCGACATGGATCTCAAGAATCTTATTGGATATTGGATGTCAATCCAGCAAGGCCTAGATATCAACCTACAGCATATGCTCCCGCTGGTTGAACAGGCTGTTGAGACAAGGAACGAGGCTTTCTATCCCGGGGTACCCCGAGAGACCGACGCCTCCGTTAGGGCCTTCTTGCAGCTTATGGTATACGATGCGGACGATCGACCGCACCCATTCCTGGCAGCGGCGGAAGCGATACCGCATGGACCACTACCAGTATTCTTCCCTCCGCCAGATGGATTTGGTGACGGCGTTGACGGCCCTGCTGACGGAGACGACGACGACGACGACGATTTCGGCGGTGGGCAATTCCATGCGCCACCTGACTTTCCCGACCCTAATGATGGACCAGGCCATCATCACGGTCCAGTGGGACCAATGCCCCCTCTGCCTCCGGGCCCGCCCCCGGACCCGAATAACAACCCGGCCGGTGACGCACATGACGATCTTTATAATGCCTAAAATTAGGCCAGTTAGGAGAAGCTTTAGAGCTTAACCTAGTTTAGGTACACAAGCCACCTCATATGATAACGTTCTAAGTAAAGCGATATGATTTTTCATGTGCTACACTACCCTCGGAACATATTTATCATATTACTCGTCTCCTTTTTGTCTAGTTCGCGGAGTAGAGCTCAATACAGGTAGGTAATTATAAGGTTAGGGCATCGAGACCTATCTAAGTATATTGACCGACGAGTTAATGAGATACATCAATGAATATTAACCTCTGTATACCTGTTTGTTAGTCTGTTGTCGTATCTTATGCGGAATAACTCAAGATGCCTAGAGGAGAAAAACATTTACCCTATAAAGGGTTTGTGAAAAATTGATTCTCTATCGATGATGTGAACGGGATTTTATAGATAAAAGAGAACCCACAACCTCAAAAGGCTGCGTTACCTAGATTGATCTCACTAGACACCTCGAACTCAATAAGGTAAGGTACCTACTTCGTGATCATAGACTTGGTAATAATACCTAATGGTAGATATATGACTTTTTTTTAGCTTAACCAAGCAAGTGTTCCTTGCCCTGCTCCCGTAATACCGTTTGTACGGTGTCCAGTACCTTAGCATGGAGCGCCTCGGGTGCAGCGACGAAGCCGTGGTTGGCGCTCATAGTTCTTCCCACGCTAAGATCGATAGGTTTCCCATCGATATCTGTAATCTTGCCACCAACTTCTTCAAAAAGGAGCACTTTGGATAGTTAGAGTTAGTACTCGCTTCTTCTGTAATATAGATTTTGAAAGGGTTGGGCATGGTTTAAGGTCAATAAGAGTTTAGACGGTCAAAGGGGGAGACATGGGTGTTCAGAACAGCTGAATAATAGGGGGAAACGGGTAACTTTGGGTGTTACGTACTGGCTCCTGCGTGATCCCATATCTTTCCCGTCCGGCTTCGCTGTTTGTAAATCCAGACGGTCATATTCGCAAGCCCGATACCGAGAGTTACCCATCGGAGGACCCATGCGAGCAAGTCGCACCCTTTGCTTTCGACGTTCAGCTTGTCCATGATCAACTGATGGACATCGTCTACCCCCGAGTCTAGCATGTTATAGCAAGACACCGGCCGCAAGGCCTGAGACGACTCGTCCTTAGCATGCGGCTCAATCTTGCGGACCCGAACTTCGTCGGGCGATGACGCCACCAACGGGCGAATGTAAGTACCATGACCTTTAACGGCAAACACGACGGATCCCTGGCCCGTCGGGTCCACGGACGTATTTGAGATAGGGGCTGCAGCGTCGGCAGAAATGGTAGGACAACCAACGACGCCGAGGACTTGTCTGCTCCCTTGTAATAACGCAACGTTTATCGCGTATGCTTCGCGCCGAACAAAAGTTTTTGTGCCGTCAATGGGGTCAAAAACCCAGACTCGGCCAGCTTGCGAGCCACCAGGTTCTCCAAAACCACACCAGTCGATCATCTCGCACATTTGGTCAGGGGTATCAGGTAACCTGCAGAGAGACTTGGCCTGGTCGTCTTGAAGTCGCTGGAGTAATCCCCAGACACGGTCTAGCAGGACAGGGTTGGCGCGTAAGTCCGCTGCCGACTCCTCCCCGACGAACTTGTCATCGGGGAAAGCATGGTGGATAGTGGCAGTTAATAGGGCTTGGATGGCAAAATCGGCTACCGTGACGGGACTAAGGTCATCTTTCTCGATAACTCCCTTGTCCTCAACTGAGATGACGGCCTGGCTGAGTTTAGCTGCTGATTGGACGGCCGCAATTGCAACTTGTAGCTCTTTCGAATACGGGCTATCCATTTCGAACTTTTTCCCCGCGCTCTTTTATAACCTTTTTTTTTCTAAATTTAATATGACTGATGTTGGGGGTTATTCCTTAACGCCGATCAACTGTATTATGAAATTGTGTGCCCGGTGTACTCCGTCTCTTAGTTCCACGTGATTACATAAACTGATATCTGGAAATATTATGCCAGGTTAGGTACCCTACGTCATTTCGGTACCTTGGGCCCACATTCGTTGCTTACATGTACGTACCTACTAGCCTGTCTGCCTGTCAAGTTGGGCGACAAAATCCGAAGTCTGCAAATTCAAAGCGTTCAATTCAAATACCTGAGAGACCTGTCCAAGAAACACATAACTTCCAACTGCGAGTTATAAGTCCTAACTTTACCTACCTACCTAAGGTTAGGTATCTCACATATCAGTCATGATTTATATTCGATAACTACTCCCCTAACCTTAATACTTCATTTTCGGTAAGTTGAATACCTTTAAAGGAGGTACTTAATGCTTCTTCGAAAATGAGGCTGAAGCTAACATCTCATACAATCCTTGCCCGGAGAGTTGTAAGATGCAACTCCATCAGGTATTTAGTGGGTAATGCAGTGCAGTCTTAAAGAAAAGAGGTAAGGCATATTTTAATAGCATTCGGTCCCATCAGGTACTTCGTAGCGATCGTCGAAATGTTCATTCATTCATACCCTACCTAAGAATAAAAATATGTCGGGTAAAATCTTTCCGGATTTAATTGGTTATTACACGCCTAAGCCCCGGATCCGTATCATCCTTATGGTATGTATGGTATAACCGGCTTTGTACTATATATGGAAAAAGTACAAAGTCATACACCTCCAAGTTGACCTGACCAATCACGTTATGTGAAGGCCGCCTTACATAGTAAGACAAATTCATAGTCTCCGAACAATCCGAAACCTACCCACCGCTCAGCTTCTCGGCCAGCCTTCGGGCTCCGACCAAACAAAAAGCTCATGGCTTAGGTTAGGTTAGGTAGGCATAGGCATAGGCATAGGCAGATGTATTCGATCTTGTCCCAGGCCCCCAAGTGCCCCCGCTCAGCCCTACCTATCATTTCTCTCGTTTGATTTCTCTCGCTTTCTTCTCCTGCTCTCTTCTCTCACTCTCTTCTCTCGCTCTCTTCTCTCGCTCTCTTCTCTCGCTCTGAGAAAAATATGCGACATAAAACCCTCAACCAAAGTTGGAGACAACGAAGATGGCTAAAATAGGACGCCGCCAACCTTCATCTTTACGACGTTCTCTCCTCGGTGTCGTCCAGACAGTTTTCGCCCTTGCTTTATTTGCCATCTTTGTCATCACTTGGCTAGTGGAAGTAGGAACGATCCCCCTCCCCGAATGGGCAAAAGCGTGGAACGGCGTCTCGCCTGAGTTGCAAAGAACCTACGCTGCTGCTCTAGTCCCTGCAGTGGTTATCCTCGCGGTGCTCTTCATCGGTGCCGGTATCATTCTTATGATGCGAGAACAGAGGCTAGACAGAAACAGTCCTGTCTAAGAGACTTGCTACCATTTCCGGCGCCGCAAATGGGGAGAGTAGTCAACCAGGACTGAGGTGTTCATGTGTGAGATGCGCCTCGAGGTATAAACGCCACATCCCCGCGAGCATCGCGTGACTATAGAAATCCGAGAAAATTTCCAGTAATTCGCCGCGAGTCACTGCAAAATCACGCCTGCGATCGGAATTACTCGGAGCTATCTTCCTCCAGTTAACGCCTGTAAACTATTGGCTTAAGCAGACAACCTCAAATCGCGCACGAATAGATTCGACTATTCAGTTCATTATATCCACCTAACTACGAGATATAGTACTGAAAATGAGCGTTATCTTCCCCATAGTCTCTTTGAGGCTTACACCACGAAGTCAAACTATTGGACCATCACCTTTTGAACTATCTACATACTACTACTACATTATACCAGCTCACATCACAATATACATACTTGGGTATATAGAGATGTCTTCGAAGCTATTTCTGACGGACGGGGGACTTCTTGTATGAGAACCATTCCTTTACGAGCGATACCACGGCACGAAGCTTATCTCCAGGACGGGTTTACGACCAGGGGGGATGGTTTCCACGTACTTCTTATGAAGGGAGCCATCTTATCATATTATTGTTTAGGATCGCTCATGAGTTTATGATGCATTTGCTTGTTTGGACACGGCGTTTTGGGTGATGCATAGGATTGGCGAGAGAGGGACATTCATTTTGGGAATACGGCGGTTGATGAATCTAGGTGTATCACGAGCATCATGGGAAGGTCGGGTTGATAGGTACTTCATGATGGATATACCAACGAGCTTATGCATTTAGTTCTGTCAATTTTACATTATTTATCTATGTTCCCATATTGGGATAAATGAACTTAGCTACCTACTTGTCATAACTATGATCAGCGAATGACGCGGGTGTTGGAGGGCTGGACCAAGACGTAAATGCCTACTAGCTAGTCATTTGAGACTATGGTGCTATTGGGCTCATAGTAAATACTAATATCATACCATGTAAGTACTTAAAAAAAAAAAACTTCGGATTGTGTCCTTAGTTTTGTCCGTTTCTTTAATTAAAGCGCAGCACCCCTTTCAAGGTGCGGCGTCGAGTTTAGGTAAACAGCACTAATAACCGCCATGACCTTGTCATTGCCTCTTGATCACCAGAGCCTGATCGACCTCATCGCGGCATGGGAAGCTTTTCCCATAACCTCGTAGGATATCATATTTCCTGTTCACCATCTCCCAATCGTTCCCGATCGTACCCTTGCATTGACCCGCGCAAGCGTCATACTTCTCTCCATCGTCGAATTTGGAGTTTTTCTGTAACTGGCATATCTTCAAGCACAAGATCCACTCCGCGTCCCCTGCAGTCATGTCCGCGTAGTAACGCTTATACATGTTGGCTTGCGGTGGCGCTCTTAGTAGGACGGCACCCGTTATGTACAGTAGTCCGAGACCCGAGAGGCATATGAATACTTGGCAGACCCGCATCTTCCCCGAGGTCTCTAAGATATAAGGACTAGTAGTACTGTGAGCATAACTAATTTGGAGCGTAATGGAGATGGGCACGTACTGAAATCGCGAGCAAAAGCCTTATATCTCCTCGTGCATAATTCGGAGCTGTCTGGTAAATACGTTCCCCTAAGCTTTACACACTAGTTCTCGCGCGGATATGGTAAATGTCAAGTATATAGAAATCCATCCACACCACTTCCGACGTGTTTCTATTATATGAACCTATATAGGTACCTAAGGTATCTACCTAAGACACTCGGCCGAACTTAAATCTCGAATCTAGAAGATAAGAAAATGCCGTGGTTATGATTCATTAGCCAGGCCAGGAGTGGGCAGTTGAAGAACTCAACAGAAATGTTTCGCTGCCCACGTACTACTTATTGGATTAGTCAAAATGAGGGTGCTTAACGTTATCAGAACCCCGGGGCAGATTTCAAAATGCGTGTGTTATGTGAGGGTCGAAGTACTGACTCTACAAGCACTCAAATAGAGCATATAATCTATCCCCAACTTTCATGGCTTATGGGTCATCAGGCATGCGGTTTTGCTCTAGGTTGGGTAGGTACCTCTTAAACAAAGCGCCGCATTTGTTGGTACCTGGGCTGGGCACTATTATATTTCACATTCTTAGCCATCCTTTGAAGCTTATTCCTAATCCCGATACTTGAGATTAAACCCTAGGAAGTATGGCTCGTATTTGGTGAAATAGTACGTTGCTCCCTCATATCTCTTTGAGTTATTTATCATTTGTCTACCTCCTAGGTACCTACTCAACAGGAGCTACCAGGGAAGCGGATACATCAGAAGTTCTAACGAATTACTGCTTCAGGCATGTTGCTATATTGCTAGCAGTCCTGTCTATACATCTTGCTTAAGTACGACGCGTATCATTATGTACAGGCAAAGGTAGGATGGATACCTATGATCATGTACTTCTTACTATGAGTTTTTGATAAACTCGGCTGCCCTTTCAGATATAGCGTAAAGTGTAGCGGTCAGATGGCCGCTAATCTGCATTGGTAATACAGACGCATCGATAACTCGGACGTTAGACGTCCCGTATACTTTGAATTCGGGGTCGACGACTCCCCCGAGCTCCCGAGACATCATCGAGGCCGACCCGATAGGATGATGGTTGGGTGACACTATAAAGCGCGGTTAATTTGATACAATGGGAGTGCTTCGTCCGCTAGCATGTCGTTCTTACTTACCAGTGCTTGCGATGAAAGTTGCCCACTGGGCATCGGTAGCATTGCGGGGCAGGACGTCGTCTCCGGGAACTAAGTAGCCAACTACAACATCCCTGATCGGGTCCGTATACCAGACATCTTGCGATAGCCGGCCGAGCTCGGTCTGGATAGCAAAATCGAAATCGATCAAGAAGTACTCCGGGTCAATCGCGGGGTCGTTGTCCTCGACTGATTTGAGATGGACACTGCCCCGAGAGAAAGGCAGTGTAGGCCAAAATGCCGAAAGAAGTATATCCCCGGAAGCCGATGTGAGGGTTTCAGCAATCGTAACATTTTCCTTGAAAATTAGACCGTGCTGGATGCGGAATATCTTTTCTATCCGATGGGCACCTATGGCTCCATTGTTGGCGTCTGAGACTTTCTGGGCCCATTCAGATAATTTGGCATGCGTCGCCTCTTTTACTGCGGAAGTCCGTTCGCGAAATATGTCTTCCGCTGTGGCAAAAGTCGCATATGGCGCAGTTCCTGTTAAATTGACATTCGAACTATATTCGAGGACCACGTTCGGCTGGTCCTGTAAATGCTCACCCACTCCGGGGAGGTCGATTCGTGTTTCTATGCCATGGCTCTTGTGGATACTAGTCGCGTCAATACACCTTATCTAGTTAATAGATACGTCTGCATACCTCGGATTTCCCACACCTGAGCGCTCAAGGATCAGAGGGCTCCTTAGAGACCCAGCGGATAGCAAGACTTCTTTCCTTACGCCAATGGCGATTGCTTGACCGGTGGGGCTTATGTATTCAACACCATCAGTTGTAAGGACGTCGCCGTCTGATGATGAATTGGCCCAAGTTAACTTCGTGACCGTCCCCTTGATTATCTTGAGATTAATTCTTTGTTCAATAGGATAGTAGAACGCTCGGGCAGCGTCTTCCCGAACATTCGCATCCCTATCTAGCGTCTGTGGCCAGACATCAAACCCACGTGTTTCACCGCTGTTAACATCTGTATTTAGAGGATATCCCAGATTTTCCCAAGCCTGCCGCGCCAGTTCATAGAAAGACCCGTTAAGAAGTCTGAACGGGAACCCCGTTTTTACTGCTCCATCCCTACCGTGATATTCTGCATTGAAACTAGCGCCAGCAACCTGTTGAGCCGCCGTGGGAGGGGAGAATTGTTCAACCTGCTTGAAGTAAGGATATAACGTATCCCAGTTCCAGCCGTCGTTCCCAAGAGATTCCCATATGTCAAACTCGGCCTTGTTGCCTCGGATATACGTCATACCTTCGTAGACAATCAGCCATTTCAGTCAAGAGATTAGACTATAAAGGCCCTACCATTTATTGTGCTAGTTCCACCAATGGCCTTACCGGCGTGGAAAGGGATAGACCTATTACCGGCTCCCGGCTGTGGCGTCGTGGTGTACTGCCAATCGATCTCTGTACCGAAGGCACGAAGAAACCCGCCAACATCCGTGACATTAGGGTTGTCGCGAACATCGTCGCCTGGCTCGATAACCGCGACTTTAACACTCGGATCTTCGGATAATCGATTTGCCAGCACGAGTCCGCAGGTGCCAGCGCCAGCGATCACATAATCAAATACTTCGCATTTGACTTGGACACCAAGAGCAATGCATAGCAGAGGAATTACTGATTTCATTGCCGACAGAGACCTCTCGTCAGGTAACGTCAGGTAAGGTAGGACCTATCTATGAGAAGATAACGTTAAGCTCTGCGGAATGGTCAGGACGTTAGGCAGGCCTATGTAAGAGGAGCATGCCGCATCGAACGCGAGGATTCACTAAGCCCATGGTGGCTGACAGGAATTACTGCCGCGGGCCGAATTGTCGCGTCCGATTACCGTTCCAGGACGCAATAAAGCTAAATTCCCGGGGTGAGTTCAGCCCCGTCGCATATCATTCGCTACCTTACTTTAGACTATCCAGCTCAGGAACCGCCTTGGTCTGGTTGCGGGGAAGATGTTCATTGAAGATGTTCATTGAGCAACGGGTTTCCTGGCTGCCTACCCATTCAGTTGGTTCGGACTCGTTGATGTGTAGGGCTGACTGAGAGGCTAGAGAGCTATAGCCTATCACTCGCCAACGATTTCACTAGGATCACCGGATTCGATTAAACTGTATGGGGATCTCTTCTGTATCTTAGGTATTATCTCATGACCAATTGTCACTGCTATAAGTTAACGGCCGGGTTTAGTCGTAATCGAAGACCCCATCGAACTTCTTTCGTCATCATATACTCCGACCGAAGACATTTTTATTGCGAGTGTCTTATTTAACGCCTTAATGACAGCGCCCCAAGGACCGGCTTAACCTCGATAAAAGGGTAGTGATTGATCCGCCCATTTGGAATCTAGCAATACCTACTCAGGAGAAGACAGGTTAGGATATTTGCTGGGTTTTACATACTTATAATACCTTTTACATATAATATTCAGCGTTAACATATAGCATACGGAGGAGTCCTTACTTCGTTTAACTCTGAAACTATTATTCTCATGCTTCACACGCAGTCATCTCTGATTTAGGAGTAGTCGATTCGGCACGTCAGCAATTCAAACTCGAAGTTCTCTTCTGACAGACCCTTTTTTTTTAAAAAAAAAAAAAAAAAATTATTGGAAACCGGCTGACATTAAAGCTTCGGTTATGAAGTTGTTGAATATCTACCACGTGGTTCCGACAGTAAGATACCTAACGAAAGAAAATATCGGAGATAAAGGGGAGGGAGGGGAGGGGAGTGTGATAGCACTGATCCTTGCTCCGGCGAAGTGGACCGCGCTTAAAGATGCCTGAGATATTCGATGTCGGCACCCGCAGCTACGAAACATAGCGCTATTACCAACCCTCGTCAAACAAAGATCGAAGGGCATGTCACTGGCCAAGCTGCACCACGGGCTACATGTTTCTTGGAATGTGATTACAACGGCTTGCCAACGAAGTCGGGGCGGTAGATCTTGCGGTGATAGGCAGGTGATGCCCGCGCAGCATTGTCGATCTGCCGCCCGATGAGCTGAGCTATCTGCCCAATCACATTATCAAACCCGTTGTCGTGCGGTACTAGCGCAACCACCTGTGCTCCGGGTTGCCCCTTTCATATACCGTATCTCTTCTACCCCCGGACGGAACACGAACACCCTTCAACAGAGGACGAGCTAAGAGATAATTTCGCTTGGCTGTATTAATGGTGGTAGATATGTTTTATATCTACCTAAGGTAGGTACCTAGTTAGTTACGTGACTTTCAAGTGTGTGAGATCCGAAAGGGGAAGGCAGGTGAACACCCCTGTCGTGATATGTTCGGATCTGCGTTACGCAACCCGTTTCCAATCGCTGCTGAACGACCTTGTTCGATGTCGCGCATGGCATGGTCAGGTAATGCCGAACTCGTGCATCAAGATCTCACATGGGGCTCTCCTGTCCACTGGTTCGACCCATTCGTCCCATCAAGGGCCTCGGATTGGATACACGCACGCTAACCTGGAGATTTTCGTGTATTTCTCAGTCTTCGTTATAAGAAGTAGGTGGTATCCCACTGTCGACATGGCACTAGAATTTGCTCTTGGTTCCGCAGGCTGAAGTTGTTACCATCCCATCCCCGTCTCATAACCGATCGCACTGACCGCTATCATCGCCCATCATGTTTGGCTCCAAGGTAAGCCTGCGAGAATGAGTTGTTCGCTGCCCGAACCTCCAAGGCCGTGTATCATTATTATAGGCGAAGTTGCTTATGTTCATCCTCTTTCAGGTTCTTCCTGCCATTCTCTTGGCAATCGTAAACGTATCAGCCCTCGCAGTGGAAAAGGTTAACACGAGGCAAGATCAAACTTGCGTAGCTACGTGCGGCAAGATTTGTTACTGGCAAGAAGATATCGACGAAGCCGTAAAGCAAGGATATTCCTTGCACGAGGCCGGCCAGACTGTCGGTACGTCAGATATTCGTTTATACTTTTACATCCAGCCGTCCCATTGGGTACCTAAGCTAGGTAGGCTTTATCTAACATTATCCTATGTAACAGGTTCAAACGACTACCCTCACCAATTCAACAACCGCGAAGGCTTTGACTTCCCTGGGCAGGCCCCTTATTACGAATTCCCTATCCTAAGCAGCTTCGACCCCTACGACGGAGGCAGCCCCGGCGCGGACCGTGTCGTTTTCAACGAAGCCGGTGACTACCAAGGTGCTATTACGCACACCGGAGCAAGTGGTAACAACTTCGTAGAGTGCACCTAAGTGCGTACAGCTCGAGTTGAGGGGAGTAAAGCTCAGTTTCGCCTGGCGCAAAGCTGCGTAGGGGTTCATGGAAGCACTGTATATATCAGGTACCTAAGCATAACAGCATATGTGCTGTACCAGCGGCCCTATAGCCGCGAGTCGTGTATATATCAAGAGTTATACTCAAGAAAATCATACGAATTTGCTGTGTGTTAAGTTCATCGATTATGCTAGCAAGAACGATTTGAAACGATTCATAGGTAATGTGGACTGGCTTTAATAAGAAATGTGGTATCTCTTTAATGTACATTATATTTTGTTGTTATAGCCGTCCACAAATATTAGGTGCTCTCATCCCAATATAGGGGTCATTACAGACGCTAGACATGACCGTCATTATGCTTCGTTTTTTTTTTTTTTTAATGGCACCCGCCTGCCAAACATCAACGCTGGCAACCCATAATACACATACAACATGCACGTCAACGGAAACGTCCGAGCAAACAAAAAAAACCCTTACTGCTTTTGTGATATCATCATCTCCTCGTTATCGGCAATAGGCGCGGGGCGGTTGGCAGATTTGTTGAGTTCGTTCTCGCCGACAACATTAACAGTACCCTCAAGCTTAAGGTGGTAGTCCTTGTTGTGGCTGAGGACGTACTCCTCCTTGTCAATATGGCGGAAAGTAAAGTAGAAGACAATGGTGAGAACACCACCAGCGATGGCCGGGCCTCCGAAATCCCAAGTTAAGTACGGGTCTGTAACGACAGAAGAGCAGGCCAAACCGATAGCATAAGCAACGGCCGTGTTGAATAAGTTCAATGCAGACACTAGACCACGCATGTTGACAGGAGCACGCGAATAAGCGATACCGTAGGCAGGCACGTTAACGAACAACTCGGATATACCACCCACGGCAAACGGAATAGCCATCCACCAAATGCTGATGGGGGCCACGCCAAGACCGTCGAGACAGTTGCTGGAACCATACTCGCCGCAAGGAGACTGCTGGTAGGCGTAATAGTTTAGAATGGCATATCCAGCACCGCCAAGCGAGGACATGGCCAAACCAGTGGTGATGCGGGCAACAGGGCCATAGTGGATGTTCATTCTCCGTAAGAGAGGGTACAAGCCGTAGTTTAGAACTGGAGCCATCGCAATGATACTCAACGAGTTGAAGTTGTTGATAACGTCGTTGGGAACACCGTTAGTTGTCAACATAGTGCTCAGGAAACTAGCGGCAGAACCGAGACCGTTGTCGTTAATGTACTGAATCGGGAAGAAGCAGAAAATACCGGTAGCTTGGAATGTTCGTCGCACATCATCGACGAATTCGTCGTTCCAGTAAGTCTTGTAGTTGAGGCCTGAAGCTTCGATATGCGACGGCTTGGCCAAATCCCAGAAACCAGCACGACCGAACTTTCTGATACCACCACGACGGAAGCAAATGCCAAGAACGCGGAAAACGTTACCCAAGTCGCTTCCGCCAGGAGGGTGAAGGATCAATCTCTTGTAGAGGAACCAGAGAAGAATCGGAAGAGGAAGGTAAAGCAGAAGAGGGATAAGGAACGCAAGCCACCAGCCCACATACTTCTCCGAGTATGATGTAGCAACTCCCATGAAACCACCGATGTTAATCAGGAGGTAAAACCAAAGCATAACTCGTTCGGTTGTGGATTCCGGGTCTTGAATCACGCGCTCGCCAGAGGACAAAGTTACAACCTTGGGAACAGTCGTCGTCATTTGGTCGAGCAGAAGGGGAGAAACATTGGGCTTGAACATAGCTATGGAATTCGGGTCAGCATTGATCATTCGACACTAACATGTTATGACAGAAACTTACCAGCACCAATCGAGAGGATATACACAGAGAGGAAGTAGGGGACCTTGGCCGTGCCGGCCGCTAGAAGGTCTTTGGCGCCAGCGGCAACCATCAAGACGTGGGCAACACCGAAGACAGCGACACCCCAGCAGATAAGGCTGAAACGTCCGGTCTTTGCATCGGCAAGCCAACCGAAAAGCAGGGGTAGGGCATAGGCCAACATACTGAAGGACTGGGTGACGGCGTTTGCGGTGACGGTTCCGAGTCCTAGAGCACCGGCGGTTTGCTGGGTCCCTTGCGGGGGCGCTCCCCAACCGTTTCCACCCTCGGGTAAGGGTCGGTTAACATAGTTGCTAATTAGGGGCTGGACACCATAGTAAGAAGCTCTTTCACAGAACTCTACTATGCAGATGAGATAGGCGACGACAGGCAGACTGCCGGGAACTCGACGAAGAGTTTTGAAGTCCTCCTCGGTCGGCTTGCCCTCGTAGTCGGCCTCCATTATAGAAGGGTCGAGGTATGCGTTGTGGGCATCACCCGGAGGCGTCTTTGTCATCTTCTCCTCGTCAATGGGTGAGCTAGTGCCCGAGGCACGCTCGACTAGGTCCGCTGCGTTGCCTGATGTTTGTTAGCGAGGGTTCGGATAACTAAATCACGCCGTCGCCGACGCGAATTCTTTTTGGCGTTCCAAACATACCCATTGTCTCTAGACGGCTTCGCAGTTGCGCAGATGAATGCGGTACTAGAAAACAGAGAAAGCAAGAAGTGGTCAAGAGAGGGTGGCAGCGAAGGGGAACGTGGGATTTATGCTAAAAAAAGGCCCAGGACGGCCCGCACTATCGGGAACTTATGTTAGGTAGGTACGTTTGTGCTGGGTGCCGGGGGCGATAGGGTGTGATGTTACTAGGTCTGGGTCTAGGTACTATGTAGGGTATGTACGGGTATGTATGGTATGCATGGTATGCATGTGTGGGCGTGTCGTATGGGGTTCAGACAATACGGATCAATACTACCGAGTATCCAACCTACCGAATTGGGTCTCTAGGTAAGTTCCCTTTCGTATCAAGGAAATAACAATAACCACGCCATACACTAAGTGGTTCCCGGCGTGCGGCGAGGCTCGACGGGGGGCGAAAGATGAGAGGGATCTTACAGATGGTAGGTCGTTCTTAGAACAACTCTTCTCGCTAGCAAAGAGCCATAATCATAGTAGTGTACATAGTAGAATCGGACTTTCCGTATTTTCTACACTATGATAGTACATCTCCTTTGTCTCGGGTCTCGAGCATGGGACGGCGACCAGTAAGAACGGTTAAAGCTGTTATCTTGGTGCCACCCATGCGGCGTGAGGATCCACTGATGGGGGGAAAGGGTTTGTTTGATTTACCCTTGTCCTGGTATCTTTTCATCTTTCAGTCAGTTGGTACCTAGACACTAAGAGTACTAAGAACGCTAAGAACGCTAAGTTCGAGTTCATCTCAAGGACCCGGCCGAGTAGTGAAAGAAACCAGACTGAAGTTCAGATTGGGTCTAGCGAGCTAGCGTATATGACCGAGTTACATCCGTCGAAGCACGGCTGGGGGAATACCCTCATAAACTCTGGGAATGGTTCTGCCGGAACGGGAAGGTCATTTTTTTTTACTGCAACCAACCAGCCAACCAGCCAACCCCAGCGACAACCCATGAGCCCATGAGAGAGTCGGTAGGGGGGTTACTACGTTGTATTGCGATCCTAGCAAGCAACGCCCAATCGCCTCGCGCGCATTGATAAGACGCTGCTGGATCAGCTGGAACAAGCAAGATGAGGGCGAGGGTCTCGCGAGCTAGGCGAGTTGGCAAAGGATCTAAAAAGCTTCAATTGGCGGGCTTGGCTGGGATAAGATTTGCATGGGGGAACACTGCATGGAAGCTGAACCGAAGCATTCGATTGCCAAGATGTGCGGCATCAACTTTCAAGACATGAGACGCTATCATCCCAAGACGGAAAAACTAAAAAATAAAAATCAGAGAGAATATCAAGCTTTCAAGCCAAGCTGGATCGGTTGATTTTCCCCTGACTTAGCAACTCAACAAGCTTCTGCCCAGTCGGCGAGGCTCGCATGGTCGCAGTTGGTTGCAGTTTGGTTGCAGTTCTTGTTTTCGGCAGAATTCCTTTTGCCACAATCAATGAATCAGCACCTAATCGGTAATCAGCATACGAGAAAAGAGAGAGAGAAAAAAGGGTACTGATAAGCTTTTTTTATGCTAGGTCCACTAGGTACCTCTTAATCTACCTCCTAAGTGCCCATAACGGAGATACCTAAAAACGTGCTAGATCTAGATCTGTACATGTACTTGGTAATGTATGCACTACCCTACTCAGTTACAAGTATCGTTACAGCTGCCCGTTAGCTCCAGATTTTTAAACACTGAACTACGACCCATTCGGTAGCCGTCTCCGGGCTCCAACTCGAGACCTTGTGGGACTTTTCTATCATCTTTCCTCCCTCCCTAGTTGAGGTCGCGTGTTCGTTACCTGAGCGCTAGATTTCGATTCAGAGTTGGATTCCGATCAAGCTCACATCTGGGTAGATAGCCCGAATAGTCATATGATGAAAGGATTTATTATACAAATTAACCAACTCGATAGGCTATCCCCATGTCTCCATATCTTACCTGAGATACCTCCTAAGGTAAGGTATGTAATACTTACATTATGTATGTATTATATACATAGTAGTTGGTTTCCAACGTCCAACCTCGGTTCCTCGCTTGGTGTCTGGTTGTGTTACCCTCGCTGCTTATAGATACAAGGGTATACCAGGTAGCTTGGTGCTTTAACCTACTATATCAAGTATATCTAGGTAGGTATCTATGTAAGACATGGTCTTTTGAGGGCGGAAATAAATGAATTCCCCAGACTCGAGAGATAAGATGCTGCTGCTGCAGCATTATTGTCTGCGCTCAGAGGGTCCGTCAAGGCGCTTGGACCCTCTAGTATATTGTACCTTTGGAGTTTTACCTATTAGACGGTACGGTGTAAGTTGGGCTGCACTACGGATGCATTGTAGGTACTACGGTAAGCCGAGGCGGTTGGGAAATACGTACATTAAACAACCAGCCGGAAGTTATCCGCATCAAAGTCGTGCACATCCAATTTCTATCGCAAACGTCAAATATTTATGCGTAAGAATGGCGATAGAGGTATGGATGTATCTCAAATGTAATTGTGGTGTACCGTCGTATACCGAATCACTAAATTGGGTCATTGTCCGCTGCATGTTTTCCTTGCCATTCTTGTTCACGCGATCGATTTGGAGACAAACCCTCTAACCAAGTGAAGCAGTCAGACCTGGAGACTGGAAGTCGAATATAACGTGCAACCCCACTCGGCCCTATTAATATAGCAGGTCTGGCAGGTAAGCTGGGTAAGCCAGTAAGCCTCTTGAATTCATTTACTTGTGCAGATAAGCTGATGGTACAACTATAGACAACCATCCAATCAGAAACGAAGGCTTTCCCTTAACAAAGTACTATACTAATAGTAGGGCGGCACAGCTGGTCTAACAGACAAGATAGGTAGCTGGAGCTCAGCCCTCACTTGATTTTCCTAACGTTCCGGTTCATTGGACCCCTTAAAACCGAAGATTAGGTATTCTTTCTTCTTCCCTGCGAATTTATAAGCACGCAATCGTGGGTCTCAAAGGTTAAATCATCGCCCCTTGCCTTACAAGGTAGGTACTTAAGAGGTAATTGTAGGTACGCATCACATCATTAGTTGTCCCTGGCATGATAGTTATCCGATATATCAGTGGCAAGATATCTAACCTAGCCCTGATACCATCTCAAGAGTTGGATCCTAAACGTCGCATGTTCTCCTACATATCATCGACGATGTCGATGTCGTCTATTACATCATAACTCATAGGCGTATCTGTGCGCATAGATCTTGGGACCATCTATCATCACAGATATCATTTTTTGAAGATCGCTTCAGCGTAAATCATGTAAGGTCTACCTGATATCAATCCATTTATCTAGATGTACCCCTAGATTCTCGCTGGTTAACCACGCCAGTCTGGTGTAGGTAAGAGCATCGCCAGAGATATCATGTCAACCCCAATCTCTACCCGCAGTCTTTTCGCCTCCTTCCGTCACTCAACAGGCCGAACTTTCTACTAGATATGTGATAGGCTCCGCTCTGATGTATTCTCATTGTATCATTCGCCTCATGGTTCACCTTATCGTCCCAAGGGTACGGTTCAAGCTTTGATCGGCTTGTCCCAATTGGTTGAGAAGCACGGTGCTTTCCTAGCGTCGACGCGTAGCGTGTACGTCGACAAATAACTGCACGATACAAACAAGAACAATGAAGCTTAAGTTGACATATTGGCAAGCCTTCAGCCCTGTCGCCAAGATTCATCCGTCCAAATATCAACAATGATAGGTATTAAACTACCCCTTAATTCAACTAGTATCCCCAAGGTTAACTGGCTATCATCATAATGCTATCACCACGTAACTAGCACGAAAAATATTGCGTCGGGAAATTTAAGGATTAAACTCCGAGATAGCCACCGGATTTCTGCTGGAAGAGGGAATGATTAAGTATGAGGTGATTCGCACTATCACGGCAGTCCCACATGTTGCTCGGAGCATACCAGCCACCTGGATATATAGTAATTCGAAAAATTCCCACACGTTTGACCGCCAACGTACGATTGCCGAGGCCAGATAAACTGATGGATAAGTGCAGATACACCGCGTCGGCGGAGACTTCTTAGCGTCGGGCTTCGAGGCCGGAAACGGATATTGGAGATTGCGTTCAATGGCTAGCGCGCCGGTTCCCGCATCTCCAGTTGTTTAACATCGAACTAGGTCAAAAATTTAGCAATTGCAAAAGAATTTGCAGCTAGGGCAAAGTAACTGTCAAAATCAGCAGAGACCATATACCGAACACTCCGAGGTTCCGAGCTTGAGAAAACCTTATATGACTATCCAGCGAATTCGGCTTGAGATGATTCAGACGATATAACAAATCGAATTGGCCTTCGCCGAGCTTCCCTTGCGGCATTTAAATGTGTTTTTCGCTCTTGGGCCTCTGATGCGATCCATCGTTGAGAAAATACCCGAAACGTCGTCTAGAGCGCATAAATCTCTTCTGGGACGCGTATTACCATCTATACTCTACCTAAAAAGAGAAGTCTATAATCTTGTTCAAAGTCCGAGTTGTTATAGACAATCAGACTCCAGAGGCAGGTTTTAAGTTAAAGCTTAACACTTTAACCAAGTACCTAGGTAGGTACCTAATAAGAGACATATTTTGTGAGTAATAATATACGAAAAACACTTCTAATGTATATGCACTTTTTGATGGTGAAAATAAACTCTTGGATATACGTGCGCTTAAGAGTTGGTGATTGCAAGAAGCTCAAACTACATGAAGTCGAGTACCCAACAAGTCTCCAGATTTTTAAAAACAGCCTTCAAACTATATCTCAAATACCTACATGTTAGTTACACTTTTTCCTCTCATATGGCATATCTTTCGAGGATGTAACCGGCCGCAGGTCCTGCGAACACGATAGTCGTGGTATTATTTCAAGACTCCTTCAAAATTAGTGAATGTCACGTCGCAGAGCATGCAGTAGGTAAAACAACTTCGTTGTTCCGCGAGGAACTCTAACTACAGTTGCTTTGAAGCCAAAGCTATATACAGAATAACTCCTTTGTTCCAAGGGGTCTCAAGTGAAGACTCCTGACAGTGAATGAGCTGAACCAAGCCTCGCGTGTTGCGCACACTGCTGTCGCAGTAATATTATTCGCTGATTGCCTAGGTGTCAGGTACCTACCTGTAGGTAGAGGTAGTCAGTTACTAGAACTGCCGAACATATCGACAGAATTTAAGCATAACTGATCCGGAGCCGGACGCTAAGGGCTAGAGCGGCATTAGCTTCAGGAGAAATACTCTAGGCCATGCGCCCCGATTACGGTCGACGAAGGAGAGACTATTACCAATGATGGGGTCTAGGATTTTTATGTTAGATTGCCTGTTGGAAATGGCTGGTCCCTGAGTCATAGGTAGACATGGCGGAGTTCGAGGAACTCATGAGCACGAAGATTCCGTGATCTTAAGGGTGAATATCATGAATGTTGACTCGAAACGTCGAGCCATGGCATTATACATTGTGCGTTATCGGTCAATAACTCCACTGGGTTCATGAGCAACATCGAGGCGAAAATATCGTACAATCGTGCTCTGCGATCTTGTAGGTTAACCATAGTAAACGAAATTTCTCGACCCAAAAATGAGTTCTCGGGGTGTCTCCCGAATAAAGCAAACCTAGCATAGAATAATCATGTGAAGGAATCAAAATCAACAAGATCACCAAAACTAAAATAAGTCGTTTACCATAGGAAGTGCAATATAAATGGCCATATAGGTAGGTAGGTAGTTTTCCAGATATGGGGTATTTTGTAAGACATGTAATGAGGCACACCGATTAACATAAAGCACTTGATAGACACTTGTACAATGTTGAGTTTACTGCATAGAAAGAGACACATCAAGCTTTGATTAGAGGTAGTTTAGTTGAAACAAGACTTAGACAGGGGTATATCACTACGTAATGAAATATATATCTTGAATAAGCTAATTAGTGAAAAAACTCTCTGTATCTATACTAAGACCTGTTTTGTAAACCTTGGTGAAAAGGGGAACAGGTAGCCTGGTGAAGATGAAGGATGTTTTGGGCCCGAAAATACTATTGATAATATTGGAAAATACTTGAATACCTCTCAAGTTCGGAAGTCGTTTTGATGGGACTGTGCTACTTGCAAAAAGGTCATGTCTAAAGCAACTGAAACTGGGTGGTGTTATATAAGTTGACATCTAACTGTAATTTATTGATTATTATCAGGGGCAGGTTTCATAAGTGTAGGACCAGTTGGATTTAAGTAGGTTTCCAGCATTCATTTAATGATATCTGTAGCAGCTGTCCTTGATGACATTTTTATAAGATCGTCAAACCGTATAGATTCCAAGAATACCTAGACCTGATAACTCTTTGCAGTTTCCTATGGTTGATGGTTGGTGGTAAACTGGATTCAAGTTATTAACAAATGGGAATCCATTGTGACAGCGAATCATGTAGTTTATGCATCTTACATTCTCCTCAATACACTTACTCGTGGAAGAAGATGCTTGTTGTACAGTGATTTTACGTTCAAGAAACTCATAAAGCATCGCTTTTAGTTAGATTAGATACCTACCTCATAGATAATTACCTACCTACCTACCTCGGGTTTCTTACAACTGATTCAGGAATATTTTCTTATAAAACTCAAAGTTCAAGATCCACATGCTTACTCTTGTGTTAGCTCCGTAAGGCCATCGCGGTCCGTTCCTTCATGCAGGCCGCAACTTGGGGGTTTGTGGCGTCCACCCATGATGCAAGATCCCGAGAATGAAACATGGTAAGAGTCCCCGCTGCAATTCATACTGATTACGATCTCCGAACGGAAGGCAACCTTAAAAGAACCTCCGAGGGAAAAGATATTGGGTTAATTAATGGATGCATGAGATGAAGGATAACGGACATAGCGAACATGCCGTGCTTTGAGAAACAACTCAGCAACCCCGCACCGACAACAGGACGAATTGCCGAGGCGTTGCCTAGCAACCAGCTCATAGGCTTGAATTGTTCATTGTCTTACAAACTTGGGACAAGGCATCAACTTACACTATCAAAACCACACAAGTTACTTGGCTGCTTGGACATCAGCAAATAGCATCGTAGATATTCTAGAACTGACAGCAATTAACAGCCTAACGCTTAGTAATCAGACGAAAAACAATTGACTCGGTAAGATCCAATGTGACGGACAACCATAAACACGGAAGCGGGGGAGTCCTCCGGTGATGGTCGTTCAGTTCAGGGGATATACGGTCTGTTTACAAGTGGCTTGCACACAATTCACCTGTGATTCGTTATGGAGGTTGACAGCGGGAGTGGGGACTCTTGTGATGCTGTGATGAAAATTCGACGTTATCAGACTGAAGAGATTGGGCAATTTGGCCTGGCGCTTTGCTGACCGTTGTGGTGCTACGCGAGCCAATTGACAGCATGTACCATGTAGAAGCGAGGTCTTGGAGCGCCGTTTCAACGTCGTTTATTTTTTTTCTTTATTTTTTTGAGAGGTGAGCGGTTGACCGTTGCGGAGCAGCGGGTGGGCAAGTGAGGGAGATACAAGTAAATAAGGGGAGGGGGGTTAACTATTTTAGCTTTATCGCTCCGCCATATTAATAAGTTATCAAATACCTACTTGCTTTCCTTGACTTCGACTTCGACTTCGATTTCGATTTCAAATTCTGTAATATAATAAGGAGTTGAATTGGATAAGTCAAACATGAAAAGTGAATCATGATAAAAAAAAAGTAAGAATGTCCTTGCACAGTTGTACAAAGTTAATAAGGATGAAATAATTGTGCATTTGCGGGGGACGCTTAAGGTACGCTTAATAACAAAACATACAAACACTATACCTATTGTAGTTATACGCTATGCCTATAATTAACATAGCTACGCCGCGCTCAGACCTTCTTCTGAGAAAGCGCGTAATATCATTGGTTAAAGTATCCTTTAGTACGACGCAACCATTTTCACAAAATTGTGATCTGTCAAACTAGGTCTAGTATTACTTTAGTACCTGCAGATGGTATTCTAGCTGTCTACCTAGAGCTAGAGGTAGTCTCCCCTCTCTGTGCATCAACAATTCACAAGTAAACAGTGAACGCCAAGGATAAGGACAAAAAAAAAGAGGACTTGCCTGCTTGCACAAACGCTTCATGAATTTCATGACCGCCACTTTGTTCCACTCCTCTTTTTTTCTTTTTTCTAATTAATGACATCCTACATACATGGTGAGAAAGCTACCTAATCCTGTCTTTGCATTTTTTATGCGATTGATTTGCGATAGGGTAGATACCCGAAAGTGCTTTCTATTGTCGTTGTTTGCTTCTTCATCTACGTGCATGGAGCTCGGACGTTGCGCTGTTTGACATCTGCCTTCCAAAGTTCTTTTCTCTTCTGTCAACGGTACGTACGTCACTTTATATCCATTATAATCTGTCTCCCCTGGTCCGTCTTATATGAGCTTTGGGACTTGGCAGAGTCTTTTTTTCTTTCTTTTTTTACCTCACAACTTTTCGTCCCATATCTTTTTTTATGATACCTGTCCTTCTTATCACCCTCACTCCCCCTTCAATGTAACGATGGCAATAACCTAATCTATAATAGCGACAGCACCTTTTACGACGTCACGATCCTTAATGGCCTTTCCAAGATACCCTCGCTTTTCACCTACGTATTCTTTATAATCCTAAGTCTTCTATTTTCTCAACTGTATTCCACGTCAACCTTCCTTTTGGTCGCGATTCCAACAGGTTTACCGCCTGGCGGGTAGACCGTCGTCGCGATGGATCAACCTCCTCCGCCGCCGCCGCCGCATGGCAACATTCCCCGTCCCCCGAATCCTAACCTACCACCTGGCAAATATGACATATTCATCATACCGCCGCACTCTTCGGGATCGGGGTTTCTCTACCTCCCTTCCTTGAAGCCGAATCTGAACAGCTTTGCCGCGGGATTCGCTAGTGCTCTGGTCCTGGTTGTTCTAGGTCAGACCATGGCACCGGTATTCCATGTGTGGTGGGGTGGTTTCCAAGGAATGGGGAATATGGGCATGTTGTTATTGGTGATCGCAGTTGGGGTTGGAGCATGGTCTCTGGGAAGAACGCAACAAGGTGGCGGTCCAGCGCCGGGGGGGAATAACGGAAATTCTTGGGGATATGGTCCCGGAACAGGAGGCTACCCGGGCGGCCCGAACCCAACCCCCGGACCAGCCCCCAACGATGATACTCCTCCGCCTCCTCCACCTCACGCCTCACCGCCACCGCCTCCTCGTCATGGGCAAACACCTGGGACGCCGGGTGGAGAGCGCCCTAAACAGTCATGGCAACAACATCATGCGCGAGGTAAGGGACCGGAAGATGCACCGCCGGAACCACCCCCGGAGCCTCGACGACGACCACCGCAGCAACCACCACAGGAACCAGCGCGTGAGCAACCGCGAGAGCAACCGCGAGAACAGCCGCGAGAGTCGCCACGGGAACCGAAGCGAGAGCCAAAACGACAGCCGAAAAGACAGCCACACCCAGAGCCGCGACCTGAGTCACCTCGCGAACCACACCAGGCTCGATCTCCGGAACCTCCAAAAGAGGCCCCTCAGGAGCCTCCCAAGCCAAAGTCGAAGCCAAAGCCTAGGGATCTACCTAGGGAAGCTCCCAAGGAAGCTCCCAAAGAAGTTCTCAAAGAAGCTCCCAGGGAAGTCCCTCGAGAAGTACCCAAGGAAGCCCCTAAAGAGGTTCGCAAAGAAGTCCTGAAGGAACCTTCCAAGGAATCCCCGAAGAAGCCATCTAGAGGGCCCAAAGAGGCTCCCTCAGAACCCCCCAAAGAGACCCCAAGGGAGCCCCCTAAAGAGACTCCTAGAGAAACTCCTAGGGAAACCCCTAGTGAGATCCCTAGAGAGACCCCTCAAGAGCCTCCTAAAGACCCCCCTAGAGAACCTCCCAAAGAGCCTTCTAGGGACCCTCCCAAAGGGGCGTGGGAAAAGGCCAGAGAAGAGACACGACGAAAGGAAGAGGAACGTAAAGCTAGAGAGGAGGAGCAAAAAGTCAAGGAAGCTGAAAGGCGCAAAAAGGAAGAGTTGGCGAAACGTCTAAAGGAACTGCGTGAAAAGGATGCTCGTGAGAAGGCCAAACGTCAGCAAGAAGCGAAGGAGAAGCAGGAACGCGAGGCTCGCGAAAAGGAAGAACGAGAAAGAGAGCAGCGTGAAAGGGAGCAGCAAGAAAAAGAGCGACGCGAAAAGGAGCTACGAGAGGCCAGAATAAGAGAAGCGAGGGAACGTATCCTGCACGAGCGGTTGAACCAGGAGAGGGCTCTAAGGGAGAAGCTTGAGAGAGAAGTTAAGGAAAAGGAAGAGATCCGAATCAAGGAGGCAATTGAAGCGGCTAGGCTGAAGGCAATAGCAGAGGAGGCTCGATTAAGAGAAGAAGAAGCTGCTACGTTAAGAGCAAAGCTGAAAGAAGCAGAGGCTGCCATGCAGAGAGAAGCAGAAGCTGCTGCTAAGCTGAGAGAAGCAGAGGCTGCTAAGCGGAAAGAAGAAGAGGCGGCTAGGGAAAGAGAAGCCGAGAGACAGCGAGAGGCCGAAAGACAGAGGGAAGCTGAAAGGCTGAGGGAATTGGAGGCGGCCAGACAAAGGGAGCAGGCTGCTAGGTTGAGAGAGGCCGAAGAAGCCAGGGTAAGGGAAGCGGAAGCAGCCAGACTGAGGGAAGCTGAGAGTAGGCGAGGGGCATATGCTTACTCGTCGGTCGGGGAGAAGACAAACCCTTGGCCAAATGGAAAGCCACCAGTTAGGCCTCCATCCCCTGCTAGGTCAAGTCCCGCCCAGCCAAGTTCTCCTAGACCAAGCCCCAGTACTACATCCAGCAGGCCCAGCAGTACTTCTACCAAACGACCGCCTCCAGCGGCCAGTGCAACATCAAAGACTTCGAGCGGCGTTAGTGAAGAAACTTACTCGTTCCGACCATACGACCAGCCTAAGAGTCATGCTCGAAGAAGATCGGGCGAGACAACTTTCACAGAGTCATCTTACGCGCCATCCCATTCAACGGCGAGGACAACACCTCCGCCCTCTGAGCATCCGCCTTATCAGACCAATGACCCAGACAAGATCGTTATCAAGGCCGTTTATAGCTTCCTGAACCAATTCTCTAAAACCCCAGCTTCTCAACTCATTAATGGTATAGCACCAGTCACAGACGGTTTGATCCTTCGCATCTCGTCAGCCGGTATGTTCATTGATGATGATGTTCGTAACGAGCCGCAACGAGATTGGGACGTCAAAGCCTGGACACTCAAGACGATGGAAATATGGTGTCCGGCGCATTGCGTTGCCGAGTCTAATATCACTCCCAAAGCACCACCGCCTAGGGGTCGATTCCGATCTTCAATTCGTGGTGACCCGAAAACCCTAACAGGTGAAGATGCCGAGACGTGTGTTGACGAACTTCTGCATTCATGCGGGGACATTTGCCGCCATGCAGCCCATAGGAGACGGGATGCAGCGTCGTCAAATATTAGCAGCTCACGGCGCAACGGCCTCCATATCCTTCGCGCCACGATTCGGGACCAAGATGGGAGAAGGCACTTGTTCATCATCGACGAGGAAGAGGGTTGGAAAGTTGCGCAGGGCCTGCGAAAGCTCTTCCAGGGCACTCAACATAGGCAACTGGGTATCCAATGCATGTCGAAGACAGAAGCACAAGGTATTCTCAACATGTTTGGATGGTGATTCCCGGCAGCATCGATTCAGCTCCAAGTATTTATGGGATATCCTACGGGCGTGCGTAACTAAGCAGACGCTGGAATGTGAAAGATTTGCAGCATTCCACCGATACCCCATCTCCACACTAGTCTAATTACCTACCATGCCTCTGGCGTGGGCCTCGATTATTTACTTTTGTTATGCATGGCGATGCGCGCGGTGTGGCGTACATAGGGGGGTGAATAAGTGAATTTGGAAAGCATCACAATTCATGTCGGTTGAACAAAAGGGTCTGCATGTAGAGTTGGAAATTGCCACCAGTTGGTCAGATAGCCCTGAATATACCACCACTGTAAAACACGAGTCTTCTAACGCGTTGCTACATATAACTTGTGTGAGTTTGTCCCTAGTGAAAATATGATCACCGCCTTTGTACCTCCCCAAAGAGGTATTCAAAGTATGCAAGGGGGTAAGCTTCTCCAACTAGCCGTATAAGCTGACAGGGCTATGGTAGACAGTATGGTCCCAGCCTTTAGTTTATTAAATCTGCTTAGGTACCTCCTGTCATACAGAAGTTGTTTGGATAAGAATGTATGGTGAATGTGAGGTTTAGTGTAGCTTTTCATAAATAAGGATCCACTTCCTAAGTGTATTACAAAAGACAAGTCTCCGAGTTGATTGCAGTAAGGTGAGCTTATAGAGTTGTGATAATGGTGATAGGTTGGTTCTTCAGTCATCGGATCTTCACGCTATCATTTAGGTCGGACGTCTGAGCATAAAAAAACAATATCCCGAACAAGTTCGGGCACAGGTTCGGGCACGGGTTCGGGCATTGAGAAGTGGGGCCGAAATTCTGAGAAGTGCGAACAAACCCACAGCCCCTGAGCCCCTGTCTGTCCTATGCCTGACAAACCCAAATGGATAGAACCATCAGCAATCGCGTCTTGAAATTAAACACATAGTGCAGACATCGGAACGTGCCGGAAGACGTGCTGAAGGTAATATGACCCAACCTAAGTTAGGAGACGCGTTACGGGGCTTGGGTACAAGAAACGGCCCTAAGCGGGCGTAGGCGGATATGGACGGAGGTAATAGACGGCATTGCACGATCAAGTGAATTTCATTCGGTGATACTCGCTTTTATATAATGTAGAGTAATTAACCTCGACTATATAATGCTCGGCTTCTGATGGACTTAGATAGTTCGACTGAGGTTCGATTTTGTGATAGTAAGCAACATTTGCCTACACTCCTAAAATCTGGGCTTATTGATAGTCAACGACATGAATAGTTTCCTCCCAAATCCATCCATCCTCATCAGGGTCACAAGGGGAAGAAGAGTACTCATCCCAAGCCGACACCTTAGCCAACACATCCTGCAGTATACCGTTCGATCCTTCGCCACGAACGGTTCTCAGTACAGTTCCAGCTACAAATATAACAAGACACTACACTCGTCAGTCGGGATGTCTCTAAACATCTTGATCGTAGGCGCAGGTGTCGCCGGTCCAGCCCTCGCACTTCTCCTACAGAAATCTGATCCTAATTACAACATCACCATAGTAGAGCGGTTTCCCTCGCTACGCGTGGCGGGGCAGCAAATCGACATCAAAAACCAAGGCGTCGACGTCTTGAAGAAGATGGGACTTCTAGACGCGATCAAAGAAGCCTGCGTCAACGAAACCGGTCTCGAGGTTGTAGACTCGGCCGGGCGGCGAAAGGCACTCATGGGCATTAACCCCGCCGGCCAAAGGCGCATAACTTTGACGTCGGAGTTCGAGATCATGCGCGGCGACATGGTTAAGGTGCTCTACGACGCGAGCGTCAAGCAAGACCAACAATTGAAGCAGCTCGGGGGGAAAGGGGGGTTGACATATGAATTCAGCAAGGAGCTCACAGAGCTCACCCAGACCGATAAGGGGGTAGAAGTCACCTTCTCCGACGGGAAGAAGCAAAGCTACGACTTGGTCGTAGCGGCAGATGGCCAGGCATCGCGTACTAGGCGCATGGCTTTCGGCCAGGAGGCCAACGACGAAGCCTTCAAGTCCATCGGAGTCCACGCCGCCTACTATGACATCCCCCGCGCCGAAGACGAGGAGACCCTTGCGAGGGTCTACATGGCCCCGGGAAAAAGAATGCTGCTCACGAGAACCAGCGGCCGCCCGGCCACGCAGGTGCTGCTCTTCACCATGGCGGGCGCGGAAGACCTGAGGATGTCGTACAAGGAGTCGGTCGAGAAGCAGAAGGAAGCGTTTGACAAGGCATTCCGAGGCGCCGGTTGGCAGACCGAGCGGCTGCTAGACGGGATGAAGACGACGGGCAACTTCTGGGCGCACGAGCTCGCGCAGATCAAGATGAAGCAGCTGTACGCGGGGCGGGTCGCGCTGCTCGGGGACGCGGGCTACTGCCCGACGCCGTTCACGGGGATGGGGGCGACGGGGTGTCTGATCGGCGCGTACGTGCTGGCGGGGGAGCTGGCGCGGCACAAGAACGACGTGCCTAGCGCGCTGCGGGGGTACGACCGCGTGGTGCGGCCCGGCGTCGACGAGATCCAGAAGCTGCCCACGGAGCTGATGGGCGTCTTCTTCCCGTCGTCCAAGCTGGGCGTCTGGATCCTGCAGAACGTGATGTGGGCCGTGTCCAAGATCGAGCCGCTGACCTACCGACCAAAGCCGGACGGCGCATACGTGTGGCATCTGCCGGAGTATCCCGAGCTTAAGCTGTAACGCGTTGCCTGCCTCGTGGGTTGGACTAGGGCTGGAGCGAGAAGTAGGCATAATTTAAGGGAATGTGTGCGCCGGTGGGCTCCGATGGCATAAAGAAAAGGGTCCTAAGACTGGATGAAGGGGTTCAGATTGCCTACCTATTCTATGAGAATACCCCAGCTGTATATTTTCAGTAGGCATTAGGTATTTTCTGACACTAATTTACCATTTCTACTCTGCGTTTCTGAGTATCGTTTTAATCCACATCTAACCTTGGCCTTTACGTGGTTTAACTGTATCGTATCGGGTCCTTCTAGGTGCTAAGGCGTCCTTCTGGACGCATCGTCGTCGTGTAGAGACGGTAGTTACAGTCACGGGTTTACCTATCAAGTCAATACAGTTGCAAAAGCAATGGGCTCGACCCTAACCTTGCTCTCAATATTTGCAGACTCATATTAAGTTCGTAAATTGCATGTCATGCTCTGGTATATTTATTACCTATTGCCATCTCGTGATCTGTGTCTTCATAATAGTGTTTTATGATCATACATCCAGGATTAGACTAGACTTAAGACTAGTACCTACCTCGCAATAAACCCAACGGCTAGACCATCTCCTATTCGTCAAACGAATTTGTCATGCTATATGAAGCGGTGGCAGGGTTCTCGACCATTTAGGGGTATAGGGGCAGCTAAGGGAGGGATGTCATAAATGAGGTACCTAACCTAAAGTTAGGTATGTACAATACCTATCCATATTGGTGTACAAAATATTAAAAATTTCCTGATCCGGCAGATTTATAATGGCTTATAACAGGTCTCAAGTGATATTAAATTGTATATGCGTTCTACACGTGCGCGGCTCTCCTGTCTCGATACCGCTACCCAAGAGAATATCTGGTCTAGGTGGTTGCACTTCTGTTTCTGCTCTTAGGGTGATATACCTAAATAATTTTGGGAAAGGGTTCTCGGCACGTAATCGTATCCGCCTGCTCTCGTATGTGCTAAGGAAGCCCAGCTCCGTATCATCCAGAAGCGGGTTTTGCGCGGTGCTGAGCTGATGTTCAATGACGTTGGGCTACAAGGAGAAAGACTTGATTCGGCCGCTGGAACACTACCGAGCCCTCTATCCCCGCTTAATATGTCGGAATGGGAATGAGTCTGTGATAGGTAATTTGAGCTTCGCATCAGATTTGCTGTCCGGCCCTGCCCCCCAGATTCTAGGATTATATTACCCGGCAAGGCTACGTCGAGCGGCAGTTGGATTGCTGTACTTGCTGTACCCGGATAAGCACAGATTCCGCCGTCTCGGCGAAGAATATAAGATTGGTGACCTGCCCTGACCCTTCGGCCTTCCCTAAGCACCTTTTCGGCCTCAAGCAACTTTTTCATATTCCGAGGCAACATGCTGATGAAATCTCTTCTGACAGCGGCGGCAGCCGTCCACATCGCTGCTGCCCAAGAACTTATGCGTTTCGGATGTTCCCAGCTTACCATTGACCGAATCGACCCCCTCGTGGAGCCGGGTAGTGCGCCCTCCGCACACATGCACCAAATCATCGGAGGAAACTCCCTCAACGCTTCCATGAAACCCGTCGACCACGACCCGCCTACCGTCTCTACTTGCACCAGTTGCACCTATTCCGAAGACTTCTCAAACTACTGGACCGCCAACTTATACTTCCGCGCCCGGAACGGCACATATAAGAGGGTCCCCCAATTTGCCAACCTAGGATTGAACGTCAAGGCCGGCATGACCGTCTATTACATCCGCGGCTATCAGGCCAACGCTAAAGTTACCGCTTTCCCGCCGGTGAGTGTGTCCAAAACGCCGTGAAAAGTTCCCGCTTATTTTTTTCTTTCTTTTCGTGATATTCTAGGGTTTCCGCATGCTAGTTGGCGACCCGATGAACAGACAAGCCAGCACGATGCAGCGGGGCCTCTGCTATAGATGTGAGGCAAATATGGCCCAGAACCCGTTTGGCGGGCAAGTTACATCCATCCGAATAACCTTATTCATGTCGACCCAGACTGACCGTATATACCCAGAGCACCTTGCACGGGATCCGACACACAGGCATTCCCTAAAGGTGCCTGCGGGGGAGGCTGGCGTGTCACTGTACATTTTCCAAGTTGCTGGTAACGTGGCCTGTTCCTTTCGTGCTGATAAACAAAGATTCGAAGAAACGATAATAAACATAGCCGTGTTATGGATTGTCTCTTACTGACGCGTTTATTAGGGACGGCAAGAACTTAGATTCGCCCGACCACAAGAGCCACATCGCGTACCCTGCTTCAGGAACGTTTGAGAGCGGTGGTGCTTGTCCTTCGACTCACCCGGTCAAGATCCCGCAGATCATGTACGAGATTATGTTTGACACGCGGGCCTTCAACAACAAGGCCGACTGGCCGGCGGATGGCTCCCAGCCGTTCGTCTGGAGCATGAACGACACCACGGGGTACGGTCTTCACGGAGACTACCTGTTCGGCTGGAAGGGCGACGCCCTGCAGCGAGCCATGGACGGGAAATGTTCGGGGGACCGTTGCTCACCGCTAAAGAGACAGACAGACCAGGCTGCTATAGACTGCGTCAAGTCACAGAGCGTTAAGGAAGACATTGGCGACGACTGTAAGTGGTTTTACATATTCTCGCCCATATGAGATATTATGAGACAAATACTGATTCTTCTACCTATCTAGGGCTTCCTACCCTCCCGGGCTGGTAAACAGCCTCCGCCTCGCCCTCTCCCGCTCTCCCTCCAATTTGGAGGGAGGCATTTGGTGCGAGAAGAGATATTATGGTATAAGTCTGGCAGTTATTATATACACGGAACGAGGTACCTGTGTACCTAGTGAATTGAAGATGAGACGTTGTGGTACCTGTATTAGGTTACGGGGGTGGATCTACGCTAGCGTCCCCAGAAACCTTAAGTTTAATTTGGCTTCATACCCAGGTATACAACGTTTGTCAGCAGCTACTTTAATCAAAGGTACCTTCCAAGATTCTAGAGACCGCAAGTGCTACCTATAAAGTGCTACTCATAATTTTACATCTTAAGAACCGTCTCTCGTCAACAGGTATCTATGTACCTACCTTCCCAATTACACCCTTCACGCCATCACATTCAATGTCAATCTCTGGGTTTCGACATCAACTTGCACCAGGGATTTACCTGCTAAGAGACACTTTTTATACGTTGCAGTCCAAGAATTAGTATTATAGATTATATATACAAGACTTATTTTTGTGTCACCATTGCTACAGATAACCAGCAGTTCTGCTAACTATTATATGGTGATATTTGATATTTGATATTTGATATTTGATATTTGATATTCTAATGTAGCGGGGCGCTTAGTGGCAACTTGCGACTGCTGGGACCGACAAACACCGTCTTGGGGGAACTAGTGATAACCCAGTTCTGGTATTCAACATCCCAATTGCTGACGTCCCGTCGCGTCAAAGTCGCCGAAAAGACCGCCGTACAGCCGGGTTCGATCCGAAAGCGATCGAAGCCACGAAGAACCACCGGCGGATCATCCTTTCCGCCCAAAGACACGTAGAGCTGCGGGATCTCGTCACCAACCACGTCGCCGGTGTTGGTAATTTTAGCGGTCACCGTATATAACTTGTCGAATAGTTGGGGGTTGCCGCCCGGTTGATCCGTGAGACCCGGTCCGGCAGGCCCGAGATTTTGCGCGCCGGAGTCCAGAGCCCCGGGAGGAAGGAAATCTTTCGCAGTCTTGCCGAACTCGGGGTCCATGGACGCGTCTTCGAGAGAGGAAGTAGTGTTCACGTACGGATAAATGTACTGCCAGATGTAGGGGAAAGAGGATTTCGGGAAGAGGTAATCGTCAAGCTCTGTCGAGTAGTTGCCGAATGTTGGGGCTTCTGCTCCTTTGCCGGTAGTGGGCTTATAAATCTCGGCATTGATCTTCTCAACTCGGATGTCCGAGTACTTGAAGGTTGTGTACGACAACCCGAATCCGAATTCGAATATGGGATCAATATTGGCACGATCCAACGCCCGGTAGTCGATGAAGACACCTTCAGTAAAATCCTGCTGCGGCGCACCGTGGCCGTTATTGGGCTCGTACAGAACGTCGGCGCCGTAGTCTTCTCGCTTCTTCGCCCACGTGAAGGGGGTTCGGGCAGCGGGATTAACCTTGCCGTATAGCACGTCTACGATCGAACGGCCGCTTTCTTGGCCGGGCAGACCAGCCCATAGGATAGCAGTAACGTTTGGCGAATCGTACCATTCCGATACGAGCGTTGGTCCGACCGAGTGGATCACAACAATCGTGTTGTTGCACAAGGCGGAAACGTTCTTGATGAGCTCGTCGCCGTTGCCCCAAAGCGTCAAGTTGCGACGGTCGCCTTCGTTGCCGTCTACATCAATATAGCCTTCACCGGAGTCGGCATTGACGAAGACCAGGGCAGTTGCTCCCTCTTGCTTGACCAACGTTTCGATCGTCGACGACGCGGAATTATTCAAAACGGCTTCGATACGGGTGCGGTCCTCGAGTGCTTGCACCTGTAACGCGTCGATAGGAGTGACGAGGTAGGGGAAGTCGGCAGTTCCGGAGCCCCATCCCATCGCAAGAGTTCCCAGATTACAACCTCGGTCCGCACATCCGTTCGGGCCTAGCGGGCTAGGACCGGCGTCCTCTCCGATGACTGCGAGGAACTTAGGCTTCTTCAGCGGGAGGGCGCCGTTATTCTTGAGCAGCACAGTTGACTTAGCGGCTATCTCCCGGATAAGATCGCCATGATCCTCTTGGGCATCCACATGCCAGTTTATCTGTTGATGTCCCTCGTTGGCGGCGAAATGGATAGGCCCAAAGGTATCCCGAGTCCACGAATCGAAATTAATTGGGGTCTGGTCCAAGGTCCTACCGACTTTGAAATACGCCGCCATTATTCTCATTGCCATATCGTCAACTCGGTACTGGGGGACTGTTCCATTTAGCACCGCAAGAGTAAGATTTGTGCCCCAGAAACTAAACCCGGAGTTGAATACGGTATCTCCGGGCATCGCCATATCCAGACCGGCGACAGCGCTGGCCGCGCCAGAATGTTGGGCTTGCCAATCGCTCATTACAAATCCCTGGAAACCCAATTCACCCTTTAGGAGGTTGTTTATGGCCTTGGAGCTATGAGATGCTCATGTCAGCAAGGAGATACAGCCTCAATCAACGACTTAGGACTTACTTCTGACAAGAATACGAATTGTTAATTTGCGTGTACGCGCACATGATAGAACCGACACCTGCACGGACCGCATCGGCGAATGGCCATAAATACAGTTCATGCATCGTCTTGTCGTCAATGTTTGATGAGAGGGCTTCGGTGATGTTGTAGCCACGGCCCTGAGATTCGCCGACTTGTCTGAAATGTTCTGCACTTGTGTTAGCAATTCTTCTTCAGGGCCCTTGCTTGTTTCTTACCTTGCTCGTTACCGACGAAGTGCTTAGCGCAAGCAACCACGCCCGCGTCTTGGATTCCCTTGACCGTTTCTGCTATAGCCACGCCGGTTAGGTACGGGTCGGGAGAAAATCCTTCCCAGTTACGTCCGCCGACCGGGGCGCGCCCGATAGGCCCTGCTACTGGCCCTAGAAGGACGTCGACACCTTTAATCTTATTCTCCTCGCCCATAGCCTTTCCTCGTTTATACATAAGGTCCCTGTCGAACGAAGCTGCTACGGTTTGACCAGATGTGAAAGCTGAGACGTAGTCCGCAAAACGTATGCCCAACGGGGAGTCCTGCATACAAAGACTCCGAAAACCTAGCCGGGGAATAGAACCGACTTGGCCGACACATTGTTCTCCTTGCCAGCTAGATTTTGTCAGCCGATATAATTTTATAACTGTCAGGGACACAACTACTCACCCGACACCGGTTGTCAAATTGACCTTCTCTGCTAGTGTAAGCTGGGAAACAAATTCCTTAGCTTTGGCGTAGGCCTCTTCCCATCCTAGAGCAGTAGGGTTCATCCAAGGTGAAGGATAGTGCGGCTCCGAGAAGGCGAGATCTCGCTTTTCGACCTGAGAATTATCAGATATTACGAACTGCGAAATCGGCAGTATTTGCGCCCAAGATCTATGAAGCTGCATGATGGAAAAAGCAATGACTGGGCTGTAATCGATTTACAACGTAAAAACACACACAAAAAGAAATGAATCCGAGCCGCTAGGCTTCAGATGAGATGCGGCCGGCGCGAACGAAAGATTAATTGATTTCAGCGCAAATTTGAGGGTAATTGATGACAGTTTACATTATACTATGGGAGACATGAAGAATAGGCTTCGAAGACACCCGAAGGAGATACAGGAGAATGCATGGATGGGGTAACTAACCGGATTCGCTTCTGCATACCTGGTCACTGCCAATAAGGCGACCCACGGAGTAAACTGCATCGCGGCTATCATACGGTGGTAACGGCGCTAGGAAGTTCGCTCGTAGGACCTGTGTTCGAGTCAACGGACCGTAGTGAGACGGCGGGAGCGGCCGCAAGTCTCTGGCTGTCCGATGGGAAGACAAGGTGATGTCCAAGAGGGATAGACCATCAAAGGATGATAGGATCGAGCACAGGTCTCCCTATTAATAACTTCCAAAAGCTATCCCCTTCCCCTGTAAGCCTGCGGATCAAGTGATCAACAGGTTTGTATGCGACTAGTCAAGGTGAGAGACCGGATTCTCTGGTCAGCACACGCTTCTCCACGTCGCAAGGTTGCGGTGAACCCACAGAGAGCAGGGTTCTCCGCTTGGGTAAGAGCTTGGATGAGGCCTAGGTACGCTGCTATGCCGTGTTTGGAGAAAACAAACCAGTAGGGGATCCGATTCGAAAAATTGGGAAGCTACATTAAATAGGTAGGATGGAGGTTGAGTACAAGCAGAACCCCTTTGAGTCGGAGTTCTTCGTAATAAGTTATACATTGGCGACTTGAATGAATGATACCTAGGTAGGCATTTAATATATCTACGGTAACAGGTAGGTACTTAACCTTGGTAGGTAAACTACCTTTAATCATTAAGAAATACGCGTGATGTGGCGTCATAACGACTGTCGAGACTTCCCAAGAACGGGTAATATTTACCAGCTAAACAAAGGGTGACTGGGCAGCCGTCAAAGACAAGGGAGGACCACATAAGGAAATACCTAGCTCTCTTTCCCGAGGGAATATTACGACGCGTTTGTTAATTAGAGCTGAGAGCTAAGAGGTACATTACATTAGGTACATGTCTATGACAAGTTGAGGAAAGATCTGCAGGGGAAGTCAGGGCTACCCAATAATCATATATTGTACAATACAGTACCTACCTCATAGGTACTTAACCTAAGGTATTTTTCGTGGTCCCATCTCTGAGTTGACGATATCTGGTAAATTCGTATGTACTACAGATAGTTTCATGGTAAAAGGAGCCGTTATTATAGGTACCCAGGAAACAATTTCAACGGTTGAACAAGAGTTTATGTTAAGCTAGCTCGCATATTCTCAAGCTATGATACGCGTTACTACCTGGGTCTAACGTTGCAAGGAGGTACTCAGTGGTCCCAGCACCTTGGCACCCTAAATTGTTTCTCCACCTGTTTTCGTTTCTTTCCGCCAAGTCTAGACGCCGACCTAAGAAAGCCTGATGTACGTACTAGGTAAGTGAATAGATTTGAATACCAGATACCTCTAGGTAGTCAACTTATAGTTAAACCAGCACAGTGTTGTCTTCTAGTTTATGTCATGGTATAAGTCATATAAGTGCTTACCTAAGGTACATTAATTTACCTTAAGTACCTAAAATAACTTCAATTCCATATAAATCTCATATCCAGGTTAGGTACCTAACCTAGGTACCTAGCAAATACATCATTTTCGTAACCACAATCACTCCATCCATGAAAGAATTACAAGCAACCAACCAGCAATGTTTATTATTTCTAATAATTTCCTTTGTTGGTAACAATCAATTTGCGCTCTCGCATCTTTCTATCGGCCCTTTTCTTTCCTTGTAAGCCACAACCTTACCTGCTTTAGGGGACGGGGGGCGGTCTAAAATTACTCGTGTTATGTACATACCTACGTAGGAAAAAAAGGCGTCGGAATTGGGCCTCGGTAAGCAAAAGAACGAATGAAAATTTACTATATGTCCAATGCCAGGTACTTGGCGTCTACCCCAGCGCAAGGTAACGTTGTCTCCCGTTGGGGAAGCTCCAGGTTTATGTGCGGGGAAGATCTCAAAAGGGTTAAAAATCTTATGGGGACTTACCCGCCTGTACCTTAGCTGCTTAGCGGCCTTACATTAGTGAATGCGGGGTAAGGCGGGGTAGAAGCCCTAAAGTCATGGCATGCTTAAGCCTCGTAACAATTACTTGCTTTAGTGTAGGTACTGTAGTAGTGGTTACGTAAGCTGCGAATATTACTGAGTTTTGCTGGGCTAGGCCCTCTACTAGAAACCGTTTCCGAATGCAACATCAAATTACTCTATCTTCAGTACCTATGACATATGCCTGTATATAGAAGAGGTTAGGTACTTTAGGTTAATAGAGCAAGTCACGTCATCAACAAGAGCAGTTCGCCCGTTGAAAGGCGTATACCCTTCTACCACCTTCATACTTACCTTCATGCTTATATTCATGCTTAATATGAAGGAATCGAGATGAGACTCAGATCAATTCCTCAGATCAATTGACTACCTCCTTATCTAGCAACCACTTTGTTTCTTGGGGAAGTTAACTTAGGTGTAGGTACCTAGCCTAATATTAAACCGCCCATGTTACAGTCTCAATCGTAACACTCCTACCCGTAGCCAATTGACGAGTGGTCTAAGCCGATGCGCCGAAGATTTCCTCCACCAGGGTTTGAATTTTTGGATGAGCCTGGCATGCGGGCTTGTGGATTTTCCAATGAGCCTTTTGGCACTCCTATGTTCTCCAAGAGTGAGCTAAACTCATAGACGTGTAAATTACGGGGAGGTAATAACTGACCTTGTCGCAGTACCATGGATGTTTGCATCGGCCGCAGCTCCTTAACGCCTTTCCGATATCTGCTTGGACTTTACCGCACTGCCAGCAGCTCGGCTCTTCGAAGTTTCGAGGCTCTCCAGGCTTATAATTTTCAAGGGCGGCAAGGAATTGGGCTCGGCCCGGCTCGCGGAAGCCTCGATCAGATTCTGGGACTGACGATGTTATATAGTTACAGCTGACCTGTGGGACCAGTTCGCGGAGGTGCTGCATGTCCGATCTTAGAGAATTATCGTCAGTATCTGTACAAGGCAACTACTTTTTGGGGAGTTAAGGGGCCGACCAACTCCTGAATCTTGGCGCCAGTGCGCATCAACAAGGCGCCGACAATGATGACGCGGTATTTGCCGTTATATTCGGATTCTTTTGCACGCCAGTAGTTAATCAATCTCTTCCCCAGACCTGTGTCCAGCTTCGTACGTATCTCGACGACGTACTTAGCAATTGCCTCTTGATGCTCGGCGGTCTGGTAGTGCAGAAGTGCTACTAGAGGAGCATTCAGGTCATGCTGATTGACCAAGTGGAACAGACCTAGACCGTTGGGGTTTTCGTCGGTGACAAAAGTTTTATCAATGCTCAATGCAAGATCAAGATCTCGACTTCCCTCAAACAGACCTGTGAATAGCGTCAGAACCAAGAGTAGAGAGTAAGTATTATAAGATGGGCCTAGATCTTACGCAGGCCCCAGCGGGTCATGGCCATCTTTGCTTATTTCAGGGGGTGAGAGGCTTAGAGACGTGACGCTAATATCTAGCAATGGTGATGTAAATAAGACCAGACGAGATATGTGGCTATAATAGATGGAAGAGATGATTTGGGGGTACTATGGTTGGGTTGGGTACCTAGGTGAAGTCAGATTGAATATTGAATTGAACAGGGTGAAGATTAACTGACTGATTGACTGACTGATTGACTGACTGATTGACTGACTGATTGACTGACTGATATTTTCAGAGTTTAAGAAAAATAAGCGCTTTGAAGCTTCCAATGCACCTACCAGAGGTAAGCACGCAGATTAACTCGAGTTGAAGGAGAGAGGTACCCTTTACTTTTCTTAGCTTTGCAGGTACGGAAAGTAAGGTGCGTTCTAGTTCAATCAGACATGTGATTGGTCCATTGTCAAAGATTACCTAAATACCCCTATTTGGGATGCGACAGCCGTACCTACCTCTAATAGAATCAATCTACCTAAAGAGGTACCTAGACGTTAGGTACCTAACCTACCTACCTAGGTAACCATGGCGTCGTAGACAGATACGTCACAATAAATCTTTACTCTCGCGCAACGCTCAAGACTATCCGCCTCGATACCCTACTGAATCCTTCTTCGTTCAAACGTCAATGTCCGCATAACAAATTCCTGTCTGTTCGAATCTTCCGAGGCGTCTGGATAGTCCCCCCATCGAATCTTTGTATAACCCTGGGCTTCGATGCGTCCAGGCACATTCTCGGTTGTGAACCAGTCCTGACCACGCTCGTACTTATACGACTGGGCGCCGCGCCACCGGACCGCTTCTTCTTTACCGTTCCACACGAGATGGAATCCATCTTCTAGCGGAAACGTCCACAGTTTGGCACACTGGGCGACATAATTTAGTTGATTCCTCTTGCAAAAAAACGTTTCCAGGATGAGGTCGAGCGTTGTAAGGTCTGGACAGTACTCTCCAACCTGCATGCCCCAGCGCCCCTGCTTTTCGAAATCGTCCAACTGGAAGTCTGGTTCCTCACCCGCTTTCCGCGCTTCGTACCCTTTTGTCATGGCTGTGTAGTTGCCCGGTCTTCCCCAGAGCCTTGTCACGTTAATCATGGGCTCTATACGGAGCCTTTCCTCAGGGGGAAGCGTATACTCATTGGGTCTGTCTTCCCAACCCCACCAGTCGGTGCGAGACAAGCGAACAGATAAATGAGTAATCTTCCTACCGATAAGGAGGTTCGGTAGAGGTGGCAAGGGCTTATCGGATACTTCTTTCGAGTCGGCCTTGCTAGTACTTTCTTCGGGTTCGACAGGCGATACAAAATACGCATAGCCGGTCATGGCGTAGCCTCGACTCTCCTGTCCGTGGTGCCGACCCTTTGTCCCAACCAGACGAGATACACGCTCAAGCCCACCTGGTATCCATGTCAGAAACTAGGCGTATAAGACATAATTAGTTTATTCATGACTGGACTTACCTCCTTCCAAGTTTGCCTGCTGGATTGTTATCTCTACGGACGATATATTCGCAAATTGCCAATATTTTAGCTTTCTCACTAGCAATGGGTTCTCCACCGTGCGCATGAGTGGCATCGCCGGGGGGACGTCGTTGCTATCCCCGTGGAATACCATTATAGGGTTGACTTGGAAGGGTGTAAGGTAAGCTTCGATGTAGACCGCTCGGCACGTTTCGAGTAGCTCAACCGCGACCCGTTGCGGAGCGGCTTGCCCGGGTCTAGCGTAGGTCCTCTGGATATCGTAGAGGCAGTCGATGTCCTCGTAGCGTGTTAAGGCGTAGCGCCAAACTAGGTCGCGTAACTCCCTCGGGAGCCTTCCGAAGAGAGGAGATTGCAGTTGTGAGTCAACTAAGTCTAAGCGTTGTAGAATCTCGCTTGCAAGTGGCACTCTCTGCTCGGTTTTGAGACGCGCAGGATCAATCGGCACGGACGCACGCGCTGGTCGTGCCGTTCCGTCCAGCGTCTTCTTCCGGCCGAATTTCAGAAACTGGCTGACTCCTCCTACCATGATTGTTGTTGTATTGATAATTTGTATTGTGGGATATACTCTCGCAAGATTGCTCAGGTCGAACAAAACGAATACAAGCCCCGCTTGGTTGGCCCTTTAAAGGATGCGAACGGACCAATGGGTGGTTGTCTGTCAGCTAAGGAGACAAGGCGGGGAAGATCTCGTCTGTCATCCCCCATATGCAGGGATACCTTAGGCCATACACTCGTAATAGGTAACAAAGTATTGCCAAGGAGTGCAATTCGGACCTTTGGGACAACTATGGTGGTTTCTCTGTGTTTGCCGAATAATTTATTAGGAAAGAATAGAGCGCAATAGGGGTATATACCAACAAAGCTGTGACACTGGTCTAAGCAAGTAAATTACCTAAGGCTATTGCCCCAAGGCTTCAATTGAAACCTTCCTCGCCTTGAGGCGCGTAACTAAAATTGACGACCCATTCGACCATCGGCGCTGTCTAACTTGAAACGCTTGAGCGAAATGATGTTCTGTGCCCGTTCCAGTCTCCATCGCTTCCGCTTCTCCTCCTTATGCTGTATCCTATCACCTGCTATTCTCAGCTTGGACAGCTGCGCAGCAAGTATCGCCTCGCTGCTGCGCACAATCTCACCACTTCCGCTTCCTCCGCGTTGGGCAACCTCGAGGCTAGGACTTGGGGGCGTTCCTGGGCGGGATGCGAAAGAGTCTAGATGTCGGTTTGGATGCCGTTCCGGTGTTTCTCGGCGAGCGGGCCTGGGTTTGGCGTGAGGCTCTTGGGCATCAGGATTCTTCCGGTGTGAAATAAGCTTTCCGGACGGTAGGCGCATGGGCATACTGCTGTCGTGTTGCCCTTGCTCAACCACGACATTCTCAGACTGTGGCATTTCGTAGAATTCTTCGGTTTCCGCAGATATGTCGAATCGGCAATGCCCCTTGGCTACCATGTGTTGCTGAACACCCTCAACGGTGCTCCGCCGCTTGCCGCAGCATATACATTCTCGATAGCCGTAGATGATAAAGTGCAAGTATTCCACCACCATATCGAGGTCGATAGCCAGGAAATTTTGGAACGGCACGCTGAAGCCATGCGCAGTAGCCATATGTGTCATATTGTCGTCCAATAAGTCAGACTCTTGAGCGCAAAAGAGACAAGTGCCGGGGCTAAAATCCGGCGCTTGGGGTTCTTCCAGATCATCTTCCAACCCGTCTTCTGTGTCGCTGCCAGTATTTTGGTCTTGGTCAACAGTAGCATCATCGTCGCTCCTCTTTTCAGCGCCTGATGAGATCGTGCTTTTTGTTTGACTAGCGTCTATTGAAGGATGTGGTGCACTTCCGGGCTCAGCAACCTTCAATTGAAGCTTATAGACGCTATAGTTAAAGTATTAGCTTTCAAGTGATTTTTTTTTTTTTGTGACAAGAGCAAATCACTCACTGCTCGTCACTTTTAAGATGGGCTTTCCACGTTTGTTGGGCACTCAATTGCACGTTACAGAGTGTACAGAATGAAGGGGCTTTCGCAATATTCAGGGCCGGTCTATGCACGGCAGCGCTTGTGTCCATTTCATCGGCCATTTTGTCTGTATATAAGTCCCGGTACGGGTTTCGTCGAGTTGACGGTGCGGATTATCGTTGGAGAGATAATAGGAGGTATACAAGTGTTCAAGTCAACTCCATCATAAGAGAATGCGACGGATAGTTAAATAGATACATGGATGCACATTTTGCCTTTCGGCACGCTATGCTATATCCAGCCATAACAATGAGATTTTCGTTTCGTAGGCGTAGGTTTTCCATTGAGACAGAAAATGTGACTCGAGAGATGAATTAGTGAGTTGACAAGAAGTGACAAGAAATGACAAGGGATGAGTGAAAATGAATCATAGTTTTAGTTTCCTCGGCTAAAAACCTTACCACTAACTTACCTGTACCTCTTATGTACCCAGGTACCTACCTATGTATTTGGTGTCTAAACAACGAACAAACAGCATTGTTCTACTGCTAGGTGTCATTAGATTAGTTAGCTATAATTCAGTGATAAGATATCCCAATTAACTTGTCTATAGACTCGATATATGCCAGTGGGGACTGTCGGATTCGATATAAGGAGTTTCATCGAATGTTATGGTTAATCAGTAGCTTAATCACACAATTCTACAGCATTGCAATTTTCAAACAATATACTTCTAATATATAGAGGCTAGGTACTACCAGTATGAGACAGCCTATAATCGGCAACCCTTCTTGATGAGATGAAAAAGAGGCGTGGTGGCAGCAGTTTAAGGAATGAACTTCCTAATAGAGGCGATGCTGACATATCTCACCCGAGTCGAGTGAGATATAACGACACCCTTGTGATCTACAGCTTACGTACTATAAGACGCTAATAGCGATCGCGCTCACCTTTCGTGTTTCTAAGTCATGTAAGGTCCAGTTCAATCTCAACTCTTAGGTATAGGTTTGGTACCTGTTATAGGGTTGGAGAATAGTTTGACCTAGTTGCTTACGCCGCTAATTTGAAGCATGACTGATCGAGTGCTTTGAAATCGTAAGACATTTCTACAATAGGGCCTATCCAAGCTGGTAACCTCTGTCCCTATAAATGCCACTTGTGGTTTGTCTCCTATAGATTTTTCACCTTTTTTTTTTTTGGCCAAGAGCGTTTGAAGCATGGCGCCTGAGAGTGAAATGCCTACCGAAACTCTCCCTTTACTCCCCAGTGAGGTGACAGCTAAATGGCTCGGATCCAAATTGGGACACAATATCAAGTCAGTCACCTTGACACGGACCATGTTCGGCACGGGCAGCAAGCTATTTTACGCCATCGAGTACGAAGATGAAGTAGCCAACCCGAGCTCACGGCCGTCGCATATATGTGTCAAGGGTATATTCGACCCTGCAATGTTTAGATCCCAGCCATGGACTCTAAGTCTAGCGCAGCGCGAAGCTGATTTCTTCGCGAAGCTTGCGCCGGGGATCAAGCACATGGGCTATCCAAAGGGCTGGTGGGGAGGCAAAAACGACCAGCAAGGTATTGCCATCATGTCGGATTTGGTACATGAAGGATGCACGTTTCCACCCGAGGCTGCGTCCTACCCCCTGGAGACGGTACTGAAAGGTGTTTACCAAATAGCCGGCTTGCATGCCCAATTCTGGGGGAAAAGTCAAGAGGACTATCCATGTGAGTAACACGGGGCGGAACCCAGAAGTTGGGCATTGATACGAAAAAACAAAATTGACAGAAACGCAGGGATCAATAACAATTACGACCCGGCTATGACGATGATTACCGAGGCTTGGGACAGTGTCGTTCGAGAACCTGGGCGACCTAAGTTACCCGGGTACCTGATGGACGGCGCACGTATTAGAAAGGCACAGAAGAAGTACTACGCTCAGCGAAATCCCAAGTTCCGAACGCTGCTACATGGCGACACGCACATGGGCAATACTTACTTTACAGCCGAGGGGCACATGGGTTTCCTGGACTGGTCGGCGTTCCACTTTGCTTCGTGCTTCCACGACCTTGTGTATTTCGTGTCGACTATGATGACCGTGGAGGATCGCCGAATCCATGAGATGGAAGTGCTGGACCACTACTTGTCAACTCTACACAAGCTGGGCGGGCCAAGGCTTGACAGAAATGACGAAGAACTTATGATCGAGTATAAGAAATCCTACTTGACCAACTTGATTTGGCCCGTCTGTGGGTATGTCTTGCAGAGCAAGGAGCGCGTAGATGCCTTTGCTGAGCGCACAATCGCCGCGTGGGTCGACCATAAAGTTATTGAAGTGGTTGAATCCCAGCCATAAAGGTACCTGGCAATAAGGACAATATTGGACCTGAAGTGTAAGAGCTGAGGGCTCTGGGGCCTCTAATCCAGGATTGGCCATTACGATATCTCATGAAGTGGAAAAAGAAAACTCCTTCGCCAGGAATGTAAATTTATAAACCAGATATCGACGGAATTTCTTGTTGAACTTGGTCAACCTATATTAAGGGGTACCTAATACCAACTATCCTTTGGCTCCGCTTGTAGGTACAGCTGTAGCTGACGATGCACTACTGCCTCCATTGCCCCCGTTGCCCTTTACGACAACAGCCTGAACTACTTGCCCAGCAGAATTGAACACGATATTGACGAGCGCCGACAGCGGGTCGTACTTATATGTCTTCTGGATGAGACCGCCGTCCAAGATCTCCTGCGCGCCCGTATACGTCATGTTCTGCTCGTAGTTACCCACGATCGAACCCAACAATTTGCCTGCCGTGCCCTCGACCTCCTGGACAATGTTTCCGAGATTATCTATCAGGAAGTTTATCTTCGAGTCCCCGTTGACGATCGAGCCGAGTAGGCCGTCCACAGCTCCGATCACGACGTCGACGAGGTCTGTAGCCTCATTAAGCACGTTGATGAGCAGCGGGTTCAGATTCAGCGATTCCAACGTCCTGTTCACTATATCGGCTAGGTTGCCTAGCCTAATTACCAGGTCCAAGTTCGCGTCGACGTTGGCGATCGTGATGTTCACTTTCCTCACCCCGACCTGAATACCGGCGTTGAGTTCCACCAGATTTGCCACTTGCGCGGCTAGATTAATGTCCGCATTGAGGTTGTCCACGTCCAGCTCGATCCTCCCAACATGTAGTTCTGGCACTTTCAGAAGAACATCCGGAGGCGTGCTGCCATACGAAGGAGCACCCGTTGTAGTCTTGCTTCCACTACTACTACCTGTTGTCGTTGCTGATGATGATATTATGGTAGAATCGGTCCTTGTAATAGTGTCCGTAAGTGTTGCTTGCGGTTGCGACGTGATCCCTTGAGATGATGTTTCTGTTGGACCTGCATCTGATGTCGAGGAAGCAGTTTGCGCCAAAGTGAGGGTGAACGGTATCAACAGCCTAAAGGCAATAACCTTGGAAATGGACGACTTCATTTTAGGGATCCAGATATCATTGATTTAAGACGAGGCCTAGAGGCAGCAGGCTTCTGTTTAGAAAATAAAACGGAAGTTCAAGAAAGAATTGGTTCAAAGCGCCATACAGCTCAGCGAGGATGAAACTAGAACCTTAAGCATGGAAGAAGTGCCTCTATCAAATGATAGGGAAATTGTAAGCACATTCAAATGTAATATTTCATATACATTACAGATACCTAGGCCCAATCTGCGCTCTGCTACTTAATTTCAACTATCCTTGTAGCATGTAGACGACGCTTATCACGGGAACCATCCTGGGATATTCTCCGTGCTAGCCAGGGGTTTCATGGCTTTCTAGTGGCTAGAGCCCTCTCCGGCACATCTTGCCAAACCGAAATCTGGGAATTGAGTTGTCATCGCATTATGTGCAATCTCTTAAAAACTTGGAATGAAGCCCCTAACCTACCTGGTATAAACAAGGGTATTAGGTATAATACAAGTGGTGTTGATGCTTGAAGCGCCCACCTCCACGATTCGGCTTTATATGAGGTCCGCGCGCCAGTCGTCCTTACTGTTTAGGTAGACAGCTTTGTGAGATGCTGTCGCTCCGTCTGACACTCGCTCTCCAGGAAAAATGTGTTACCACTTGTTACTTTCATTGCTCTGCAGCTCGTCGCTAGTAGCTTTTGGCATAGCACAAGGCGACGGCTATATAGGCTACGACCTCAGAAGGCGCGGAGATCCGGAGTCAGTCAATTACGAAACGGCAGATACGCCCGGCGTCGACCTACCCGAGGAACCAGATGTATACCTCAACGCTACCGTATCGGTAGGCGAGATCGATATCGAGGTTGATAACATAACCGCCAAGATAAATCTCGACGCCAGGGTTTTAAATCTGCTACATTTTACAGCCGGCGTGGCTGCTTCGATCGATAGGGTGTCTCTGAAGATCGAGAACGTGAGCGCGAAGGTGGAACTGGAAGCCAGACTTGGAAATGTTGTCCAGATGATTGGAGATGTGTTGAATACTGTTGACTTGAATCCTATTGTCGCGACTCTCGGAAAGAACGTTGGCAGCATCGTCGGAAATCTTACCGACGACCTGGGAGAGAGCTCAACTTCGTCATCAAGTACGGCTTCCGCAACCAACTCCAAGAGAGACGTGCTAGATTACAACCTAGCCTACAATATCCTCTACTCTGTTAACGACTATTCCGGCCAGACACACACTAACCGTATTCTGGCGCAGAACGGTAGCATCTACGATTCCCTGCTTGATAACGATGGAAACGAGCATGGTCGTCAAGTAGTAGGTTACTACAGCAGAGACATGAAGTTCACGGGACATAACAGAACCATTACCATTGATGGGAAGACAGAATATGAGCTTTCTTACGAATACAAGCCATTTCCGGGTCTAGATGCCGTTGCAAATATCTATGTGACGCCATCAGGACAAGTGGTGAGGACACAAGTTATAGCTGAAGGGCAAGGAGGAGGTACTAGTACTATTAGCGATGATGCGGCCGACGATGAGGGCGCTTAAAAAATTGGTAGATGGATAATGGTTTATGCACCTCTACCTCCTAAGTTAATTCGATACATGACTTATTCGTGAGATGAGTGAAGAATTCCAAGGTTGTTTGCGCTGTATGAAAAAGGAGTTAAATAGAGGGAACTTCCAGCGTGTTTCCCGCCTAGCCCTACCCCTGCCACTGCCCCGCTCACCGTCCTCTTCCCTGTACCACGTACCCACCTAGGAGGTACCTAACCTAAAGCTAGCCGGGCTAGTTCGATCTTGCAAACGCGAATTCCCCACAACCATCTATAATCCGATATCTCCGATCGAATCCATCCCCATTTATTTCTTTCCTTTTCACCTTCACTCTTTTTTACGCGTGACGTGATTCTCTTCTTTAGCATGGAATTCCAACCCGATAACGTTGCAATCCGGCTTACCGTCAGCATTGATCTTTTCTACATAGGGAAAGACGCGGTGCCTTGATTTTACCCGCTGTCCAATTTCACCGTGCCGAAGCGTCGAAGCTTATGCCCAAGTTCAACCTTCAAACGGGTCCTGCGTTAAACGCCTCTCCATCTCATAGGACGCAAGCATGAACGATCCAGCACCCCTGTGGTCGTTCTCAACCAGAGGTATCGATATGTAATACTTTGTTAAATTACCATCAGTATACTTAGTACCTAATACTTCCATTATATGCCGTAAGTTGGGTAGATAAAAGTGTATCAAAAGCTTACCTCGTAAGTTCCATTGCTGCCGAGGGAGCCAACTTCGACAGTCCCCTCCCAATTAAGAAGATCGTCCTTCTCTTCATCCACCTTCACGAAATTCTCCACGAGCCCATTGTACGCTTTGCGCGCCGGCTCGAGATACTCGCGCTCGTCGAGCAAGCCCAGCCGGATGCCCTTTAGCCAACCGAGGGTAAACATGGCCGAGGCGCTGCTCTCGATGTAATTTCCCGCCGCTCCCGGATAGGGCTGGCTCATGATAAGCCACCAGCCACCAGAATCGTCATCCTGCGCTTCCTTAAGACCGGCCGCAAGGGTCGTGAAATACTCGACGAGTCGTTCGCGGCCAGGGTGGCGCGGCGGGAATAAGGGGATCGCCTCGAGAAGACTCATAAAGTACCAACCGACGGCTCTTCCCCACACCAACGACGCGGCACCCGTCAGGGGGTCGGCCCAGACTGCTTTTTTGCTCTCGTCGTACCCATGAACCAAGAGCTGCGACGTCTTATTCCGCGTATGGGCGTCGATATTGTCGTACTGGCGCGCGATATCGTCCCACGCCGTCTCGTTATCCGCGTCAAATAGACGCGTCCACTTCGCGTAAAAGCTATCCGCCATGAAGATGCCGTCGAGCCACATCTGGTTGGGGTAGTTAGGATCGCGGTGCCAGAAGCCGCCGGTAGGGGTTCGCGGGTGCCGATCTAACTGTCTACGAATGACGTCCGCGGCGCTCTTGTATTTATCAAGTTGCGTGTGCTCGTACCACCACAATATATTGTTGCCAATTCGGTAGTTGTCTAAGGAATAGAAAGTGCTCTTCCAGTCCTTAATTGTACCATCTTCTAAGACTACGGGGCCATCGATCTGCCCCCGGTACCACTCTACATACGTCTCGGACTGGGTGAGGTCATACGCAGCCTCGTATCCTGAGTAGAGGGTTGCTTCACTGTATCCCTGCGTCGGTTTCACGCCGTGCTTAATAAATGAGTCCGCGGTCCATGTCAGATACGATCTGGAGGCCGCAGCCCCAGTAACGAAGGCAAGGAAACCCTTCATATTAACAGAAGCATAGAACTACATACCACTACACAAGTGATACTCGCCCAAACTATTCTATATATTTGACCAGGCCTATCGCCATGGAGTCGACTAATTTATCTACAAAAATAGCTATAAGGTAGGTACCTAACGTAGGTGGTAGGTATTCGCCAAATGGACTAGCTGCCTACCCCAACTTCGTAGCTAAGTTTCCACCTGTGAGCTCACTGGTTGTGGAGATGCCTAGCAATTTCGTGTGGTAAAAAATACGCTATAGGTGGGAAAATTCAAATCGGTTTTTTTCCCTCCTCCTCTTCCTCCGCCTTTACCTCGGTGACCTATTACCTACGATTGGTGCTGGCTACCAGGTAGGTACGTAGCAAATTAGATAAAAAGAACATACCTATCAAACTAACCTTTGGTTTAAGAAAGCGCAACTAGTGATGCATATGATGCATCATAAACCCCCAGCAGACCATCGACATCAGGTTAAGCACATGTACAATACGGTAAGTTATGTTGCAATAGGCCATACGCTAATAACATCTTGCTAGGTACAATCCAAATCTCGACGGACAAAAGCGTTTTGTGGATTCGTGCAACCTGTTTTCCTCCCTTTTAGGTAGCCTCCTGTTAGGTACGCCCGGTGATGGATGTCATATACAGAGTGAGTGTCAGGGCATAGTAAACAGTATATTATGGAAATCTAGTATCGCCTAGCCTTTTTATATTCCTCAATGGAGCTACTATAAATCCAATCATTAATTTATAAGTACATATCTCGTTGTTCCAATTTGAATCAGAGATACGTGGGACAACTGGAGTGTCGAAGATAGAGAGGAGAGAATGTATTGTTGATTTGTTGCAAAGAGGAGAAGAGAAATGAAAGAGACGGAACAATTTAATTATCTTCTTAGGCACGCATTGGCATGTAAGAGGTACCTCCTCTAACTTAAGTACTAGCCTTACTTACAATATACTTATAGAAAGTCCACCTCTAGCTTGACTCTTCTTGGAGTTCCTAGCTTCTTCCCTTCTCATGCGAACCTTATCCTTTACTATACAACTGTATAGGGTATCTTACTAATTCGTTTGATTCCTCCTAATACCTCCCAAAGTGCCCCTTCAACATCCTCATACACCGACTAAACCAGAACTGAGCGTAGAACCAATCCCTTGTCCCGTTAAACCTCTAGTACAAAGAAGCTATAGCTGTACGGTTGCCTTGTCTTATCCCATGTCTTATCTACCTGAGTTACACAATTCTTCGTACTTTAATATGGTTTATGTGCTCGCCTCTTGCCCGCATCCCTATGAACCCTGAAGGCAGGTTATAAAGTACTATATAAGGCTATGGTGATACCTTCCTACCTAAACGTAGCATAATCAACTTTATATAAGCGCTTGCCAATCGTCTCTACATAAAATCTACTTAACAGTTACACGTTAGGTAGTGACCATACGACCAATTTCAACCTGAAGGACATACGCGTCTGAAAGCCTGCATACCTACCTAAGGTACTTAGATTAATCAACTATGGTTGTTTGTTTCCTCGAGGCTGTTTGTTACATGATAACCCTCTGATTGCCTCAGGGGACACAAGGTGCCTTCTAGGTCGGTCATCACATATCAGGTATTCACGTAATATCAGATTAGTAGCATGTCCATAGCACGGATCGATATCCTGAGTTACATACCTAGCTAAGCATCTTGGGACTATATTCATATTGATTAGCGAATATTTTAAAGCTGGCACCAAGTTGACCGTTGACAACTAGGGACCTACTGACCTAGCGTACCACGCGTACGAGGTAGCATGTTTGGAATATAGAAAAGGTAACATTCAGTAGCACATTGCTAGAGGTACCTAGTTTCTGTCTTTATCAGAGCAAACACGTCCAGCAGCATCTCGGGATTTCCAAGGAGGGCCAGCTTCTTCGTTTTAAATAGTCGACTGCAACTAGACATCTTATTATTATTATTTTTGGTTCGACTTCAACATCATCCGCATCGCCTTCAAACATTCCCACACACTGACGCCAATATCAATCAACCAGATACGCATGCATACAACACCTGGCGCAATGAAAGCATTCACTTCAACGTTCCGCCAAAGCGGTTCGCGCCTCATTACTAGCTGTGGCATGACTTCGCCCCTATCTCTTAACCCCTCCCCCTTAGCGAAACTACGAACTATTCCCAAGACCCCCCGCCCATCTCAGCAAAGACATACCTCGTGGATCGCGTGGGAGCAGCCCGACCCTGCGCTCTACAGCCCGCCTCACGTGCCTCTGAGCACTGCGAGCCGGAAAGGAGTCAGCGATCCTGCTGCCCAATACCCTTGCAACATCGTCGAACAGAACACGACCACGACTACGACTACCGAAACAGTCGCCGTCGTCGTCGCGGGAGCAGACAGCCGGGAGATATCCCCGTCGGACACCATCGCCTCCTCGCCCATCCCAGAGTACACCAGTCCCAGTCCCGTCCCCGTCCCCCAAACCTACCACCAGAAGCGCTCCATGCAGATGCACACCGAGAGCCCCGCGCGTCCGCTGCCGCCAACCACCCTCCTCCGCATCCTCGGCGAAACCGCGACCTGGCCGAGCGACAAGCCCGAGCTCCCGCACCAGCCGCGAGTGCGCAAGTCCTTCGCTTGCGCGCGGGAGAGCAGCGAGTCGCGACGCGGCGAAGCCGCGCAGCGCCGTCTCCGGACTCGGGACGTCCAGGAGCGTCGGGGCGCTAGCGAGAAATCGGACTACCTAAGGTAAAGTCTGATTGGGGTTGCTGCCTCTGATTCAAGGCGCTCGTACGTGCACGGGAGGAGGTCTGGACTTGAGGGATGCGATCGACGAGTGGGTGAGCAAGAGTACCTAGACGTTGGGGGAAAGATATAGGGAGGGGAGATGTAATGCCGTTGAATTAGGGGGAAGAGGGGAGTGGGGGAGGGGTACCTAGATACCCCTGAATACGGATTTTCGTTACCCTCACGTTGGCTTCCTTATGATACGCGTCTGATTTTGTTTAGAGCAGGCAGGTACCTAATGTTGCCAAATTAGCGTTTTCTTTAGCGTATGAACTCTGGCCCACGTTAGGATGTAGTTGACGCGATGCGATAAAGATTTCAGACGAAATCATAATCTCAGCTAGAAACATATCGCGACAAATTTTACCAGGTGGGGAAAGGGGGGGGGGGACTTGGATATCCTTTGTAACTCGTGTCTGTAATTATCCTAACATGATGAATTTACACAGCTTTGCGATAATCACGCTCAGTCTTCTTGAATCAAGCCCCCCAAAACACTCTCGAGAACAATCATAACGTAGGGTAGAAGTAGTAGCCCATCCTCTAGTGGGTAAACGCCTATACTGTTGCGACATAAACGCTCCGGTAATCGTACAGAGCAAACTCTAGAAAAGAAGGAGTAAAGAAATGGTATGTAGCGGGAAACCCTCACCCTGCCCCTGATACACTTAGTTCTAAACCGAGCTTTACATTATCCCAACGCCAAGCGAATTAACCCTGCTAAGAGTTTCCCATGAGACGTAATGAAATAATCTATATAAAATCACTTCCGCGTTGCGGGAGCGTAACGAACGAAAAGACGGTCGAGAAAGTGCGAGTGCCTGATGCCGTTGGGCCGTTTAGCCGAGAACTCGTCTATGGCCTCCTGGACTCCGTATCCGCAGCGCTCGACAAGGTAGCATACGACGAAGTAGCCCGTACGGTTGAATCCGTAGTGGCAATGAACACCAATCATGCAGCGTTCATTCCCCGCGCGTTCCGCCTGCTCTTCCCGGACCTGGTCTACTAGTTTAATAAAGCTGGCTACTTCTGCATCTGTTGGCGGAATTTTAGATACTGTTGGGAATTTGTGATACTTGATCCCTTCCCCGAAACTCTTCGGGTCGTACACCGGATCCGCGTGGCTAATGTCTATAATATCCTTGATTATGTGGCCCCTGGAGGTGGGTTAGTAAGTTGCTGTGAATCAAGGATAGAAAGAATAAATTTTACCACTTAGAAGCGAAGACCTTAGGTGAGTGTTCTTCATCGACCTCGCGCAAAGTTTTCATAGCACGAAAGATGCCACCAATAGGCTCGGAGACGGGCTGGACGCTCTTCCACTTGGCAAGATTTTTAACATCCCACTTGCCATCGCGCGAAAGGTGTTGTAATTGCCAGCCGCTGTTTGGTATACGTTAGGAAGGTAATACTATTCAAATAGATAGACAGGGGTCAACTTACAGAGAAAATCGGCCCGTAATATGATCGTTCATAAAATCGCCTATCAACCCTGCTAAAGTGCGAACCGTAGTTGGCGTGTAAAGCATGGCATGTCCGGCTGGTAGAATTGCTGTCTTGACGACCTTGGCCGGATGTCGTGGCTGCGGGGGAATACCACCAATGGCATCTTCCCTGGGCGTAGTAGGATCTTCATCGTGATCTTCCACGTGCACGGTCTGCTGCTGTTTCCGCGCAAAATCGTCGTCTGTGATAGCCTCGATCGATTCTGGCATGTGCGCCCGTGGAGCTGACGAAGTATTTACCGGGGCTGCGGCATCTACGATGGCACCCGTCTCGCTGGCGCTCGACAAAGTGTCAGGGGAGCTATCTTCCGGGTGTGACTTTGAGTTTACGGAACGGGCCTTGTTGGGAGATGCGGCTCCAGAGCCAATTGCCGGTTGCGTTGTCGACTCGAGGAGACTGCGAATCTTCTCTATTTCCGTGGGTGGCGTTACTGTATCATACTCGCCACCAATGAGATAGACGGGAATACTAAGGCCTGTCCAGGTGGGTTCGTCAAACAAACCTCCGACAACCTTCCCATCTTTGGAATATTTCGGCAGCGCGCCCCATGCCATTCGACGGAATACGGGTGTCCGGCTCTGGCTATTGAATTTGTCTTGAAGCTGCCGGGTCTCGAGATCTGCCCCAGGACCAACGAAACGCTTAACGCTAGCGCTTTCGGGGCCACCCCATCTATCCCAAGCCCTCCAGAGATTAAAGATACAATCTGGAAGTGAGAGGAGCACGCGGATGTTACGCACGGCCTCCGGCGGTGGCGGCCCTGATACGGGGCATATTGCAACAAGTCCCATCACATGGGAGTGTTTATTAGCAATGCGGGCTGCCATCGCGGTCCCCATACTATGAGCAATTAGGACAAGCCCCTGGTCCTTTTCCCGATAAGAATCTATGACGGTCTCAAGCAAATCAATTAGAGCATCCGTAGTGTATGCGTCCCACGACTTTGGGGCAAAATGGGATAGACCGCAGCCGGGCAGATCCACGGCCAGGCAAGAAGCCGAATTAACAAGGCTAGTGAGAAGCGGGTGAAATTGGGCAATGCAACCTCCGAGACCGTGAATAAACACCACCAGAGGTAAGGGTGCTGGATCCTGAGGAAGCTCATCTGCTTTGGGGTGGCGACGATAGAAGACACGAATACCAGGGTAAGTAATCCCGCTCCGTTTAGCAGTGTATGATACTATCTCGGAGTGTTTCCGGAGTAGTGGGGGATCTATAGCGTCCGCATCTTTCGACTCGGCCCCGTTGGCTCGGGTCTTGGCCATTCGATTTCGTAAGTACAGAAACCATACACTACCCCCTAAGACGATGATGGCAGGGCCGAGGACCTTTCGCCTGGCTTCGACAAAAACGCTGGCTATGCGGGAATAAGTCATTGGGAACAATTCAATCCTGCAATAAGAAGAATATATGGGACGAAGAGGTAGTTATTAATGGGAAATGTGATGAGCCCAATGTGGTAATGGCAATGGACCTTGACCGAGTCGAAGGAATCGGTTTGCTGTCGCGCACCATTTCTGGGAAGCGAATAGGATGTAAGGAGATTGTTGAATAACGGTTGATGCGACTTACCAATTTTAAAGGCGCTGGAACAGGATATTGGCGGTCGAAGCGAAAAGCACGACCAAGAAAAAGAGAACAAAAAAAAAAGTAACAAGCAATATCAAGTAGAGCGTCGTAGTGGTTGATTTGTATGTAAGTGAGTGAGTGATAACTTAAAAAGAAAAAGATTGGGAATGTTATCGTACGTGGCGACCCGTGTTGATTACTTCCTCCTTCTAGAATAAAAGGAGAGATTGTATTTATTATATGCGACTCATGCAATATTGAATGCTTCTGCTTCTGCTTCCTCTCGATGGATCGCAGTTTCGTCTCGAGATGATTCGCTGGGCTGCAACCCACAAAGAAGATTTTTGGAATAAGATAACGATGTCAGCGCCCTTAGGGAAATATATAGCAATGTTTGGTGGTGCGATGCTCGCCGAGACAAATAAAAACCCAGTAATTGCTAGACACCATAAGATCTAATAAGAAGAATAAGATAATAACCCGTTTAGCTTGTGGTTGTACAGCATAATATGTGAGGTGAGGAGCGATTCCAAGTCTTGGAAATTGATTCGACTAATCAGATACGGCGGATATGGTACGGGCGAATGCTAAGCTAAACTTCCATTTTAGCACCCGAAGAGCCAAGACCAACTATTTCGGATGAGAAAGAAAATATGTCATAGCTCAAAATATCTCTTTCAGCCACTGAATCGTCATAGCGCCTCAACGTGCGTTCCAAGAAGGCTGCCATTGGACTAACCTGATTGACCCAATTAGGTCTTAGGGATTTATTGCATCAGCCACAGAATGCAAGGCTGAGCCGAGTTTAATTATTTTGTACGAATGTACTTGTTTCTCCTGGATCCGGCTTTGATTTGAGACATGATGTTGCTTAAGGAAACCCTGGAAGACAAAGATAGTCGTCCGTAAGTTAGGATAGGAAACTATACTAAAGTCATATATTTTTCGATGTTTAATACGAAACTAACTTTAGTAGGTACTTTCTAACTATTTCGCCAAAACGACCGTGAGTTATCTATCGAGATGGAACAGGTCTGCTAAACCATATTTGCACAAAACACTCGAATATGAAGTTTCCAGAAGTATGTCATTAAAATGACAGCGTTAACGATTTGACTTAAATCCCTTTCCTGCTTGGGTCATATTGACACATACATCCGAGTTGTGTTTCAGTTTTCGTCTAATATACACGCTCCATAGCATAATATAGTACAATGTTCGCTTTGGCCGCCCGTTGATTCTTTGCTTGTTAAGTCGGGTTTGCATACCTCTTAGACGTAAGCAATGCCATAGCCTAGAATAAGACTTCGTGTAAACAAATGCGCTGGCCGACCTTATTGCTTCATATCTTTTGCGTTCTTCCATCTCCAAGTACAGAGAGGTGTGGCGTTTGCTATTAACCATATGCATCTACTTAGGCAGCGCCTAGGCCTTCTCTCCAACCAATGGGTATTAGTGCGGCCGCAACATCGTCAACTCCTCGCTCCGTAGCTAGCAAGTTGTACTGCGCAGCCGCATTTCGTGTGTCCAAAATATCTACCCTCATTCCTAAGCTGCTAATATGTCTTCTTAGTTCCGGACTTATAGGTCGGATTTCCGGACCAAGACCGAGTATCAATAGATCTGTGTACCTTGTTTAGTGAACAAACTTCTTTGGATGTGGTCATATCACCCTCACCTGGTCGAGGCCACAGCAAGTTAAACAATCCGAACGTCTCATTAGGCACCTCCCATTGCCCCTTCTTATTTAGCAGTCGTTTCTCGCCGCGGGGTACCCACGGACGCCACGCAAATGCTTCGCCATTAACCAAGAGGACGCCGGAACTGTCGGTGATCTTTGCGCCATTGTTGAGGTGGAAACCATTTGACGTGCAGACGTCCACAGAAGTAGCAGGCACGGGCGTATTACCCAGCACATCTAGAGCCGAAAGGTCAGCACGGGACGACGACGACGACTCCTCGTCTTTAGGGCGCGAGGCAGTTGTGTGGAACTGCGAAGTCGCGCACGGGAAACCCCTACGAATCGTTGCATTGCGGGAGGAATTTGTTATAGGGAGCAGCCGGCGGCTTTGAATGCCCGGCTGTCGCAAAATCGTGGTAAATTGATTCAAAGGCCGACAAGCCCGTAATGCGGAAACCATGGCCGTAATTGATGTATGTTAGCTTTTAACAATAAGTTCCATTGCGCTCTGCTCTTCGAGTTACTTGAAGTTTTCTGCTTCTTTCATTTGGGGGAGCTGGAGCTTGCGCAAAAAGATGGTGGGTTGAACGTCATTATGTTGGAGAAGCTCGCACAGTGCAGTTATTTGTTAGATTTCACTGTATGACACTGTATAGGTAAGCACAAATTATAGCGTTGGTAGGTACCACTGGTATAAAAATAAAGTGATATTATTTCAGTAGTAGTGGTAATTTCAGTAGTATTCAATTTTAGCGCCGCTTTTCTTACCGCCTGCCGAAAAGGCTTTACTACTAGAGATTCCTTTACTTATTTTATTTTAATTACACCACTTTGTTAGCTATATATCGTGTTAAATTTAACGATTTAATATACGAAAATTATATTATTAGGTTTATTTTAATTAAAGCTTTTTAATAATATATATAAATAATAATAACGTTTTTTTTATAAAATATTAATATATTTAAATAAATATATATAATATTTTAAAAATTATTATTAAATAATTTCGTAATTTTTGTTACGAGCTAATAAGTAACGAAGCTATACCTAGTATAAAAACGGGGATGTTAACTAATAACGTTTCGGTTAAACCTCAAATATACGGATCTTATGGATTTTATGGATCTTATGGATTTTATTAAAAAACATAAGATCTTTAAGATCCTTAAAAACCATAAGATCTATAATGCTTTTAATAGAACATTAGGTAAGGAAAAAACTTATAGATATTTAAAATCATTATATATTTAAATACTTATTTATATTTCTTTAATTATTAATTTAAATTTTATATTTAATTTATATAAAAAAAAGGATTTTAAGTTTTTTTAATAAATATTTTTAATATTTTATTAATATTTAACTTATATTATTATTATTTATTTAAAATTAAAATCTTTATTATTATATTTTAATAAATTTAAATATAAATTTATTATATTTTAATAATTTTTTAATTAATATTATTATTAATTAAATATAATATAAATATTAATTTAAATAATAATATCTTTTTATTTATTTAAATTAATTATAATTTATTTATTTTAAAATATTTTTTAAATAAATTCCTTAAAAATTAACTTTTAATAAAAGTTAATTAAATAAAATAAAATAATAAATTTAATATATTATTTCTTAATTATATATTAAGATTTATTAATAATATAATTTTAATAGAAATTAAATTTTAAGTTAGATTATTTAAAAAAAAAAGTAAAAAAAACTATTAAAACTTTTAATAAAAGAAAAGAAAAAGTTTAAATTAAGGATAAGTAAATAAAAGTCTTAGGGGAAGGACTTTAAGGAATATATAATATTTATCAAATATTTAAAAAGGAAGTAAAAACTTTAAAGAAAGAATTAACTTAATTTAAAATTAAGAAGGGTGAAGATCCTAATAAAGATCCTGATAATAACCTTAGTAATAATTCTGATAAAGAATTTAATTTACAACTTATAAAGCAATAAGAACTTACAGTCTTATTATTATTAAATTAAAGATTTAGGCCTTTTTTACCACTTAAATATAATAATATTATAAATATAAAAGCTTAACTTAATACAACTAAACTTTACTTAACCTTTTATCGAAATAACTTTAATGAAAATAAATATAAAGTTCTAATTATATACTAGCATTTAAAAGGTAATACTTTTAAATAATTTTAACTTATTATGGATAATTATTTTAATAATATTTAAAAAGAAATGGAAGAATCCTAATATATTTTTAATAAATATTTTAATTTTAAAGATAAAATACAATTAATGTTCAACAATTTATTTAAAAAAAAAAACACTTAAAAGATTATTTAAAACTTTAAACAAATTAAAAAAGCCTCAAAATATATTATTAAATTTAAACAATTAACAGTTATTATTTAATTTTTTAAAAATATTTAATTCAATTATTTTTATAAAAGATTAACCATATAAATTAAAAATAAAATCTTTAAAAAAAAAAAATTTAAATATATTAATAAATATATTAAATATATTATTATTTATAATAAAAGATTATATAAAAGATTTTTAAAAAAAAGATTAGAAAACTTATTTTTATTTATATTAAAGAAAGAATTAAGGAAGTTAATTTTAATATTATTAAAATAGAAAAATTTAAGAAAAATATAATTAAAATTAAATATTATAATTATAATAAAATAGGTTATATATTTAAGAATTATAAGGTACTTTATAAGTAACTTAAAGTATTAAAGGAATAATTAAAGCTTTAAATTATAAGAATAATATTTTTAAAAGTATTTAATATTTAAATTTTTTAAATTATTTAAAATATTAAGAATTACGTTATTATTAATAATTATTATTTTTAGGAGAATATTTATAAGTGTAATCATTAGGATTATTTACGTTACTTTAACAAAAAAAAGAAAAGGATAAGAAATTAATTTATATTTTAATAATATTTATTATTCATTAATATTAAAAGAAGATGAAATATAAATAAAAATTGTTTATGAAAAATATTAGATTATATTAAAGAATAATGTAATTACAAACCAAAGGTTTAAATACTTTTTAAAATTATTAAAGATAATTTAAAGGAAAAACTTTAAGTAATAATTAATTAAAATAATTATAATAGAAATAAATTTAATAAAATAATGGATTTTATTAATAAATAGGAAATTATTATAAAATAATAAAAGAATAAATAGCTTTTTTACAAATTAAATAAAATGGAATAATAAATAATAAGTTATTAAATATATAATAACGGCATTATAAATATAAATTTAGGATAATTAATTAAAAATAATTGTATTTATATTTAAGAATAAATTGTTAAAAGAGAAAAAGAGTAAAATAAAGAGTTTTATATATTCTTAATAAATTAAATGATATTAATTCCTTTTATTATAGCTTTTATTTAACTGTAAAAACTTGAGATATAACATTTCTCAATTATTAAAGGATTGTAAGAACGAGAAATTGTATATATTAGAGGAAAATTTATTATATAAATTATTAATAAATACTTTAGAGCGTAAGGAAAAAAGGTATTAGCTATTAGAAATAACCTAAGGATTGTAAAAGTTAATATCTTAAGAATAATATATATTTTATAAAAAGTTATTAAAATTAAATAATTTTTAAATATTAATGGATAAATTTCCATCCTTAATATTAAAAAACCTAATTTAAGACTAGAGGTATATGTACATAATTTATAATAAAACCTAAGATATAAAAAACACTATAAAATATTTTAAATATTATACTTTTATAATTATTATAAAATATATAACTTAATTAAAGAAAATATAAGATTTTGGCTTAAATTGGTTAAAGGATATTTATTTATATATTAATATAAAAATATTAATAAAGTTTAAATTAAATTTAAATTAATTTCTTTAGGAAATATATAAGTAAATAATATGGTTTTAAATATTATATTTCCGACTGAAAATAAGCTTTAAGCTTATACATATTACAGAAAAATATGGGAAAATTATAATTAATATAAATATAAGGTATATATAATTTACAAATTTATTATTTTAAGAAAATATATAAAGTAATATAAAAATATAAAGATATTTAATAAATTTTTAATAAAATTTATAAAAAAATAATAAAAATAACTTAAAAAAAAGGACTTTAATAAAGAAAATAATTTTATAAATTTTAATATAATTAAAACCATTAATAATTACTTATATATTATAATAAAATAAGAAGATTAAAAATTCTAAATATTAATTAATTATTAAGAAAAAGAATTATTATATTAAAGATTAACGATTAACAGATAATTGATTAGATATAATGAAAGATAGATTAGGCGAAAAGTTATGAATCTCCCGGTCCGGATTTAATAAAAGGACCATTTAGTTTCTTTCGATATTGTGGACATTTAGTACAACATGGTTTTAGGAAAACCTTAGTTAGAAACTAATAACCTAAAGATAGACTAGCAGAAGAACATTATTGAATAACTATTATTGGAATTAGGTATTAAAGATTATAAACTTAAACATCGGAAAAAGGCCGACTTAAATGAACTTAATATAGTAGTAAAAAAGCACGTATTTACAGCCTTTAAAAAAGCTTATAAAGTAATATTTTTATATATATTATGATTTATAAAATTAATTAAAGAAATAAAATAATAAAAAATAATTAAAAGAAAAATTAAGGTAATATATAATAGATTTATTAACATATTTAAGAAATATTAAAAGAAATATTTAAAATTATTTATTAAAAAACCAAATACTAATATAGGAGTTTTAAATTACGGACCTTATAATTATAAAATAAACCTTAAAAAAGGATAATTATTTAAGTTAAATAAAATATATTTATTAAATGTAAATAAATAAAAAGCATTAATTAAAATTATTAAATAAAAGTTTGAAAAAGGATATATACGAAAATTAGATTTATTAATAAGGAATTTAGTTTTTTTAATATTTAAAAAGAATAAAGATAAAATATTAAAATTAAATGAAAATAAAAATATAATATATAAAGATATATATAATTATTAATATTTTAACTTTATTATTAAATAAAATAATTATTCCTTATTTAATATTAATAGTTTAATAGAAATGATAAGGAATATAAAATGGTTTATAATTTTAGACCTTAAAAAAGCATTTTATTTAATTTGGATAACTGAAAGTAACGAATAGAAAATAATAATACGAACCCTTTTTAGTTATTATAAATGTTTGGTTATGTTATTTGGACTTATAAATGCGTTAGTAATATTTTAGGGAATAATTAAAATTATATTACAGAAATTTCTAAGAAAAATAGTTTTTATTTACTTAAATAATATTTTAATTTTCTTTAAAACCTTTAATTAATATGAAAAATATGTAAATAAAGTATTAAAAGCCTTAAATAAGGTTAATTTATTAATAAATATTAAAAAAAATGAATTTTATATATAAAAAATTAATTATTTAAGATATATTATTATATTTAGATAAATTAAAATATAAAATTTAAAAATTATAATAATATAAGATTGGTTAATATTAAATAATATTATTATTATATGATAATTCCACGGCTTTATTAATTATAATAAATGGTTAATAAAGGATTTTAGCAAAATTATAAATTTTATTATAATTATCATATAAGGAAAAGAAGAAACTTTTTAATGGATATTAAAAGTAAATAAAGTTTTTAAAAAAATATAAAAAGTTATTATTAACGAT